CCCCCCAGGTAGCGTGAAACAGAGGTAAAACAGGTGGCTTTTCACCGCTAACAGAGGGAGTCTGGCTAGGGCGTGGTTGTTGTTGGAGAGAAATTCGCCGAGAAGCAGTCGACGTCGTGCAATAGGGCTTGAATGCCCACCAGGTATCCACCGGGGAGACTCGTCCCGCTCCCAGTACGCATAGCGCCGAATGCGAGAACTCAGCGTTGACGCCAAGCCGGGCGGCCGCGGCAGACCCATCCTCACCGCCCCACGCCCCGCCTTGTTCATCCACGACCACTGTTCCCTTCACTTTCACTCTCATCGCTGCTGTGGCACATGTTGGAGTGTCGCGCGCCGTTCTCGTAGGCGGGGAATCCACTTCAGACTCCCGCGTCCTTGCTGACGCCCGCAGGCAAAAACGGCCTTCGAATCGCCACCACCCGTCGCCGCCCAACCACCTATCTGCGACCGGCCGCATTGCGAGCTTTGCGTGTTGGTTGATATGTCGGATCGTGAGGTGATCGAGTATCGCCAGTACTGCCCGCCGGGAGTGCGGCGTGTTCTTGCATTCGGAACCAGCGCCTTCATCGGGGAAGTTGATGGCTCGACCGTCCTCAAGTACCCTCTCGAGCCGGGAGGTGATATGAGTCGCCTCAAGCATGAACACACAATTCTCAAAATACTTGGCCAACACCCCCGAATCGTCGCCCACAAAGGACTTACAGATGCTGGCTTATACCTTGAGCGTGCAGCAAATGAAACGATCTACAAGTACCTAGTCGAATCAGATCCAGATCGCGCTCCGCCTTCTCTTCAGCAGCGGGTAACCTGGTGCCGTGAGGTGGCCGAAGCGGTCGAGCATGTTCATTCAAAGAGCGTTATCCACTGCGACATTCAGCCAACGAACATACTAGTGGACGAGAATCTTCATCTTAAGCTTGCCGATTTTCAAGGGGATTACCTCTCTAGCGGTGAGGTTATAGCTGGTTGGAGTGGCGAGCCATGCAGATATTTCTGCCCCCGGGATGATGAGTTTGAGACGAGTCCAACAACGGATCTTTTTGCGCTTGGGTCTACTATCTACTTTATTATGACTGGCTACGAAGTCTTCCAAGATATTGCTGGGGGAGAGGATGGGTGGGCGGAGCAAGTAAGGTCCCGTTTTGCAAGCGGCATCTTTCCCGGGGATTCCCACGCGTGCGATTTTATTACGCGGAAATGCTGGGAACGTCGATATAGTTCTGCAAGTGAGGTTCTCGAGGATATTAGAGCCGTCGAGAAACAACTAAGCGGCCAACACCATGAGAGCAGACGGGCAAGCTCTAGTTGACTCAGCAGCAGCGCCACATATTCGCCAGGACATATGACGTACCTGTGGCTAGTGCTGCGCCGAGGGCGAACCCTCAACTACCAAGCCAAAACAAGTCCCCGCTCCCACACCTTGGCCGGGCCTGATTTAGCCCCCTGTGTCAAACATCACGGTGGTTGAAACAGCAATGTGTAGCAGCAGTCGAAACCGTGTGTATATATGTATGGTGTCCCACCTGTCTACAAAAATAACAATACAATCACTTGCTTCAACACCCTGGGTCCTGTTCCGATCCCCGCTGTGGAGCCTCTTTTGGTCCCTAGATAGGACCCTAGCCCAGATCTGCGCACCCCCGTGGCGACCGTGCTGGAGCTCGCTACACCAACACCGCAAGTCAACACCACCATGTCCCGATCCCTCTTCATGCGTACTAACAAAACTGCTCCAGCTTCGCAACCCTGTGGCCGGAGCGGGTAGGCTGCCCTCCCTACTAGCGGTGGCAAATAGTAGAGGGCTTCGAAAGCAACGCACTTCTGTACGTCATTCTTCTTTCCAAGAATCTGAACTCGGTAGGCTCATTAAATCTTCGCGTTCGTTGCTACATAGCTTAAGAAAAGGCGATTAGCCGTTGGTTTAACTTAATACACGCCACGTATTGACATACTTCTTGTCACTGCCAAGAAGGTTTCATCAGCTATTCATTCAACGGGAACCTAGTCCAGATCCACTGATATCCTACAATTATCAGGAAGGTTCCGTAAGCAAAGCTCCATTATGGCGCTAGACATCTCTTTTGGATACTAACGAAAACCTTAATACCATCCATAGGAAAACCTTCTCGGTCCATCGCAGCCCTCATAAATCCTTCCCAAGAAAGACCGACATCTCACTATTAAGTTGGATAGACTCTCCGCTACAGATGCCCCTACGGAATTCTCTATCGTGACGACCAGGACCGATGGTGAAACGGTAGATGAGATCCCCCGCATTCACACATTCCATTGACACAAAGTAACGCCCCACATACATAGAGGTTTCGTCCGGGCCTTTCAAAGGGATCGCAATAAGTCCGATGAGGGTAATCTCTTGGGTGAGAATGGTTCGGTAGGCTCTATCCGCGTTTTCGTGCCCGAGAGTGAGACTAAGCCCAACACACACGAAAGGAGGACGAGTGAAGAAAACAACTGCAAGATAACTTCTGCCTCTCTCATTTCGAGCAATCAAAACCCCAAGAGAATTGGCCGCAGTCCTCGACATCCCCAGCCGGACTTCGTTTCCATGCGAGAACATGTCGTGGGGATATGCATCAACGATGTTGATATGCCGATGGCGTCTTTCCATGATGAGAGTAACTGTATCTCCGTTCGTAGCTTCCGAAACCGGAGATAGCAGGTGAGTAGACAGTTCTTCACTGGAGGCCTTCCAAACTAGTGGTGAGATATCGTCCGCCAAGGATATCCAAATTGGTTCGGTATCGTAGCCCTCGTTGTCAGCGAGCCTAGCATATGTGATCATCTGATTTTGGAAGCTGGTTCTCATGAACTGTCTTGGAAAGCCACCAGGCGATCGGCGCAAGATTATCGCAGGCCATGAGTCTAAGTCCATGCGAGGACCACTAATGTCATCAAACGACCTTGTGCACGCCAGAAAAGCAAGGTAATAGCCTTCGAATCCAGGAATCGGTGCTAAGGGTAGTTGGATGTGAAGCCCAAAGTTTGTCGTGGTAAAGTCGGGTTTTGGGTTGGAAATGCCGAAAGTGTCGACGAAGTTTTGGTAGTCCAGAGGAAGCCACTCTGAGGAGTGCACGAACTCATCCGGCGACTCGGCCAGTAATCCGGCGGCCAGGCTCTTCCTTTGCCAGGTGAAGATGCTGTGATCATTGGTCGTCCGCAAAATCTCCTGCTGGAGTCTCGTAAAAGCGCGGAATCCCTCGCCGTACAATGTAGGCATGCTGACGCCGAAGATCCCCATGAGTGAGTATGCCCTGTCCTCCTCTTTCGTAGTTTCCCTGCCCGCTGCCCAAGACATCTTCTCAGCGAGGCTCGCCTGATACACATGGATGCCGTCCGTAAGGGCATCCTGTGCCACCCTGGAGACATTGGCGAGAAGAGGAGCCAGTTCTGTCTTGGTCCCAATTCGGTTCCAGTCCCTAGAAAAAAATTCTACCTCCGCAGGAGCAATCAGCTCCTGCAGTGTCCAGCCCCGCTTAAACCAAGTGCTCTCTCGGAGGGGACTTGGGCCATCCAGGCTACAGACATCCTCCAGGTACGCATAACATGTCTCGGACTTCTCATACCAGTTGTACATGGAGTTTATCGCCTCTGACAACTCGGCACTGCTCCGCTTGTCGATGCAGCACGTGTCGATCCACACCCAGCTGTAACCGTCCCGCAGTGCTTGGACGCAGCACCCTCTAATCTTCTCATAGCCTCTCTTGGTCCTCGCAATACCAGGGCGAAAGGTCATGTCTTCGAAGGTGACTTCGTCGTCGGGATTTGCCGCCCATCGATGGGAGAGGATGGCGTACTGGGGGACGGGAACGATGCCTGCTCGCAGGGATATGGAGATGGTGCTGGGGCTAGATGATTCATCCCAGTAACAGTGGAGAAGATGCATCCTGATTCTTAGAAAGAAGGACGTACAGAAGTGCGTTGCTCCCGAAGCTCTCTACTATTTGCCACCGCTAGCAGGAGGGCGGCCGACCCGCTCCGGCCACAGGGTTGTGCGAGAGGCGTTGGACGTTTTGAAGAATGTGATGGAGTATTAAGTGTTTGGGAACGAGATCGAGTTGGGACCAGGGCCCACCCCGCATCCTGGATGTAGCTTATCTTATCGGTTATCGTCTCAAACGCTAACGCTCATTGGCTGCGGCTGTCGTCGCTTCCGTTGCCGGAGTGATTGGTGCTTCCGACTAGCCGCCGTGTTCGTGCCCGCCACTGCAACTCCACAATCCTAGCCATTGCACCGAGTTTGGGCGTGACGAGAACGCGTGGTGCTATCGGGTTGTTTGGCCGTTGATGGAGCTTGCTATGAAGCTGTACGGCAACGCCAAGTTTAAACTTGAAAGCGTGTATGGCCTTCCCCATATTTAAGCTCGAGAGTGCCTGTTCTGTACTGACCGGCTCAGGCAGTCGCAAAACATCCAATCCCGCTACCTTTCCACCATCCCCGAGCCTACGTCCGCATCGCCTAACAGAAGAGTTGCGCTCACGCGCAAGACCGACTTCTGCTTTTCGTACTCATATTTTGACCCTCATTTCGCAGAACTGTATACCCAATTGGCGGCAGCGAATACACCAGTCGTATCGCACACGACAGACAACTGCACCTAGCGCCTGGGACTTTTCTTGGGAATTGAGGTCAAGCTAGAAAACGGCGATCTCAAGGAAGCTGAGCTGCAGATAACTATATGGATGGCAGCAAACCTGCGGAAGAAGATAGAGCTAGGGCACCTGGCCTTCCCCGTGTCCGATGTGCCGCCTACACCAGACGATGTGGCAGACAACGCAACTAGCTCTGCCGACAAGGTCGGCGCCAACGTCCGGCCCTTGCACCTCATTGAGCCCGCGCTCACCATAATCGGCAACGAGCACAAGGTCTACTATGCGTACCCTTCCAGCGCGGAAGGCGACATAAGAGTACTGGGACCCGACGAGAAATTCGCCCCCTTGACGACACGCTCCGTGTAGGGAATATTTACGCTCTTGCGATTTTACGGGAGGATGTTAGAGTGGGGAATTGGTAAAGAAGCGAGCACATAACTGGAATGGGGACTTTGGGGAGCTTTTCTTGGGCTGGTGCTTAAGACACTTGCTGGGGGTAGGTGATACTCAAGGAGGCTGTCTCTATTTTAAATAGGATTACTTTAGGGACGCACAACTACTCAAGCTCCGATGTAGACCGCTTAAGATAGGAATAACCTTAATGGGCATACATGGAGCCAGTTAGAGTCAAGATATTAAGTCGAAGGCTTATCCTCTACGTCGTCGAAACGGCCCGGCCTAGACACAGGCCTCGATATACGGTTTAGTTGCCGCCCGGGTACTAAGGTAGACAAAAGAGAGCTTAGGGGAAGGGGGAAGGGGCTGGTGTTTTGATTATATGAGGCCGTGATTCCTTAATACGGAGTGTTGCTAAGGGGATACCCTTCCACGAAGGACGTTAGGCTAGGGATGTAGTAAAATACAATATTAAATATGTTCTCCGTCTTTGCGGCTACTAGAGTATGCACTAGTCTTCGGTTGTGCCTAACTAACCATGGGTTCTATTTCCAGTTCCTGCAGTGGATCCCGTTCCGAGCGACTGTGGAGATTCTACCCGAGATCTGCTCTGAGCATGGTCCAAGGCTATACCCGAAACTTCTTGGCGCACCGCGCTCAGTGACGACCACGCACTCGACTGCACTCCTACTGCTGCAGGTATTCGTGAGAATGTGTTGTTAACGAGCCATTGTTCTGAAGTGGAGATCGACGTTGGAGTAACTGTAGATTTATGCCGAGCCAAGCTTCGTAGGGCGTCACTGGGCGTTCCCGCCGTGTGCTTCGCTGCTCGGGCCACCGGCGGATCATTTTGCCGATATGCCGCAGAAGTGTCCGCCAATCCTCTTTAGGTAAGCTCCTTGCACGGATAGGAACACCAAACTTCACTGTAAATACTTCCACTAGAAGCATCAATGCAAAACCCGTATCACCCCAAAGCTTCAGTAGGAGTAACCTGGAGCTAGCTGGCCGTTAATTACATCGTGCAGTCCCAACCGCCAGACCAGCCCCAACCATAATGGCTACGACGCCGCCATTGTCGCCTTCAGTTGCTGCTGCAAAGACATCGCGCGTGGAAGGCTGGATCCAACAGCTCTCCGAACCGGCCTCAGCCCAGACAGACGCTCTCTCCCCGCCGTCGACGCCTGAGAACCGCCCATCGCTGAAGCGGCAGCGTGCGACCTCCTCCGCACCCTGTCCCTATTCAATGTCGGCGCGCACCAACAGCCCCAAGCGACCGAGACGCGATACCGACACCGAAGTCCTGCCTGCCCACAGCGTATCAGCAGCCGGAGCAGCCTCAAATGTGAGCGCGCTCGCGCTCAATGAGAAGAATACCTTCAGTCCGCCCGGCAGCCAAGCCGGCACCAGGAGCCCTCGCCGAGCGAACAGCCCGTCGCGCGATAGCATTTCCGTACTAGCTTCTGCATTCCCCCCGACAATAACGGAACCGAGCTCGGGGCTGAGGACACCGCCGCCGCGGAGGGTGAGGGATGTCATGGAGCGGCTGGAAGACGGGCTGGACAGAGGGTGGATACCAGGGCGGCTGCGGGAGCCAATCGACGAAGACCAGGACTTTGGATACCAAAGGATTGAGCGCCATGCCTGGGGCGAGAGCACGGCGCGTAACCTCTCGGACCCGGGCGTTGACAGCGAGGAGTGTGAAAGACTAGCCTATGTGCTGCGGAAGGTGAAGAAGATCTGGCTGAACGCGCGAGTGTGCCAGTCGAGGGGTCGCGATGAGAACGCGTGGTGCATGGACGTGATTCAGCCGTTGGTGAAGCTCGCGATGAGGCTCGAAGGGCAGGACAAATTCTGGCTTCAGAGCGTGTAGGTAACCTTCTGCCTCGTTAGTAGCACTCAATGCTGATCTCCGAGCAGACAGTCCCAGGCCATCGCTGCTGAATTCCTTTCGTCCGTCCCCGACGTCTCTGGCAAACCCCGCCTCCTCGATCGCAAAGCTGACTTCACACTCTCCTTCTCTCACATGCCATCCCCAGGCTTCGAAGACCTATACAGCCGCCTAAAACGTGCGGACAACCCCGTCGTAAGCCACATGGCCGACGCATTCACGAAGACGACCGCTCTCTTCTCCTGTGTAGAGGTCAAGCCTGCCAGCGGCGATCATACAGAAGCTGCATACCAACTCAGCGTATGGATGGCAGCAAGTCTACGGAAGAAGATGCAGCTCGCGCGGCGCGTAGGACTGATAGATAAGAGTAGCCTAGTGGAACCCTGCTTCGTTATCCTCGGACACGAGACGCATGTTTATTTTGCCTACATGGCGTCGGAGGAGAGGGACACAGTGCATATCCTGGGGCCGGAGGTTGGTTCCTTGGGTCTCTGCGAGACGAGCAGTGTGAGTGGCATCTTTCGGGCACTGATGCTTTGGCGGAATGCGATTAGGTATGGGAGGGATGGAGGGATTGAGGGGTTCTGGGGTGGCTTCATGGGAGTGGTGTTGCAGAGACTCGCTGAGGACAGTAATGAAGGGCGTGGTGTTGCTCTTGCTACTGTGCCGCAGGCTCCAGACGAGGACATATGCGGCCGGGCTTCGTAGTAAGTAGAGCTTCCTTCATTGCACTCGAGCCCCTGAACGTGAGATACCTGACCTCACTACCACGAAGTTAAATGCATGAAGCTCTGGGATGCTAGGCTGCTCTGGTTTACTATGCTGGGCTTCGACACCGTCATGTAGGTGAGGAAGTCGCGGAAAGCTGTGAAAACCGCGTGTGATGGCACACTTCTCGAGGTCAGGTACCTTACGTAATCATTGGAAGCGACATTTGCACCGGTCCACCAACTGACCGCCCGCGCAAGCGACACCGCGTCGCACGACTCGAGCCCCAAACGCCAACGCGTTGATACAGACGAATTGCGCACTGCGACGCCTTCCATTCCGCTCAGCCCCTTAAACCAGGTGAAGCAGCTGCCTCAACCTTGATCTTAACTTCTTTCTTCCACCCCCTCCCTCCGTTCCTCCGCTTCTCAACGCCTTTTACTCACGGTAATAATCCCCATGGTACAAGTTCTAAATGCGGTTCAACGCTTTACACGGGTCGACGGAGGTATAAAATTCATTTGTTCTCAAGTCCTTTTCCGCCAGGACGGCATCACCTACTGTGCCAGGTCGCCTAGCAGACATGTGGGACAGGAAGTTGATGTTGGCAAACTGGACAGCATCATGCCTATTCCTCCCGAGGCTTACTGCCCTCTTCTTCCCCCTGGTTGTGTTATTGCACCGGACCCCAGTCATTGTCATATCAAAACGCCGAACTTGACGTCGTTCGGCGGTGTAGCAGACCTAGCCGGCCTCGTCCTCCAAGAGCTAGCAACCTGCGAAATCCTTCGAAAGCACCCGCATCCAAACATTGCGACATACTACGGCTGCCTAGCCTCTGGTGGTCGAGTTATCGCTCTCTGCTTCAAGGGGTACCCAGAGAGTCTGATGGACAAGATTAATCCCGGCCATCTCAACAAGTCTGCGTTCATTCTCTCAGAAGACCGGGGCGCTGAACGGAAGAAGGCGGCGCGTTATCTCCCTGGCATTGAAGAAGGGATTCGGCACCTGCACGCCCACGGCCGCATTCACAACGACCCGAATCCCGCGAATGTAATGATTAGCGAAGACGACGCGCCAGTTATTATTGATTTCGATTCTAGCAGCGCCCCTGGTACAGGGCTCGACAAAGTGAAACGTACATACGGATAGTTCGACTCAGATGTGCTTGTGTCACAAGAGAGCAATGACTTCGATGCTCTGGCGGAATTGCGTGTATGGCTGACTGGGTCCTCTCCAACAGAGTTTCAATTCAAAGAGTGGACGAGTTAAGTTATGTTACAAGAAGTCTAGGAGGAATGAAGGGGCATCTCGTTCATTCAATTCTCTTAATTAAGACCATTTTATGTGATTGATAACTAAACACTGATAACACCCGTGGTACAATCGGTACGGAAAGGTAATTTACATCACCTAGTTCTATCGACGCACCTCCAACATCCCGTTCTAGCCTGTGTGCACGACAAGCATATCTGCCTTAAATTTTACATGCTATCTAATCTTTCTTCGGAGGAACGTAGCTGTTCGAGAGCGGGCAGTCGAACTAGCCGTAATTAATAATCTTAGTTATTATACTCGCTTTAGACTTAACGTATTCCACTACCGAAAGCCCGGAAGAGGGTATGGAGGGTGACATCATTACTTTATATCTGTCGTGTCAAGATGAAAGATTTGACGGTCGGGGGTTACCTTGTCAGCTAGTCAATGTGGCCTTTCGGCCCTATCAGGCCCCGTAATCAGTGCCGCAGCGTTGAGGCTAAGCGTCGGGCATTTAGCGCTGCACGTCCGCGAAGCGCGGTCAGCACCTGTCCTTGAGTCAAGGTACTTGTCTAGCCTCGTCCATAACTACTCGACTACTCCCACATCTCATCGTGCCCGGCCTTATCTTCACCAAACATCCCTTCTTGTTTCTTTCGTCGAGAGGAAAAAAGTGTAGTCGAAGTAGGTGACGACATGAGTGCGCCGGATTCCGTGCCTCTCCCAGACGATATAGTGGACGACGACGAGAAGCTATGCGAGCACATCGCGAACCAGGTCTGCCTCATCTTTGTTTGCCCTTGTCTCGAAGCCTGTTCCACGACAACACTAACACATTGTTGTTTCCAGTTTGGCCAGAGCTTCTCGGCGTCGGCTAGTGTCATATCCAACTTCACGTCCGTCGTAGTCCATTTCAAAGAACCCAAATCAAAGGACAGCGTCGTCGTCTTCAGACCTCGGAAGGACCAGCAAGTGTTCTGGTGTGTGCGAGTATGGCGAAAAGGCACAGGGAACAATGACAAAGTACCTCCCCTCTGGGACAGGACTGCAGGAGCGGGTGCCTATGCAGGGCTCAACCCCGCCGGACGTCGTGGTATGTCGCGGTCCCACGGAAAGGCTCCTCATCTCCCAGCGTACGAAGGCTGTTTAGCACGTGCAATGGTAGGCCAGAAAAACGGTTTCTCCGCTATCCGGTCGACGATATCGTCAAAGACATTTTGTCTCATTCTTTCCCATTCGTGGGGGAGGAAGGAAGCTGCCCATTTCATAATAGCTTCGGGCTTCAAACCGCAAAGCCTCTGACGCCGTTTCTTTGCCCTTGCCTTCACCCTCGTGAGTGCGGGAGAATCACCAGATGGTGGTTGCTGTGCTTGGAAAATGGCCGCCAGGTTTCGCTTGAATGTTGGCAACTTCACCCTACCTTGCATCATCTCTTGCGTTGCCAATTCAGCTGCCGACATGTCCTTGGCGGACTGTGAGCGGACAGTGTGTGTCCATGCTGGCTTGCAGCTAGTAATCTGCTTCACAAGAGCGTCGGCCGATTCAAGTACACTGGTAACCACTTCCTGGAGCAGGCTGACCTACTGCGATGAAGGGTAGAGCTTGGGATGCTGAAGTTTTGCCGCGATACCGTCGATATCCGTTGCAACTGAGCCCATCTGCTTCAACAGTTCGGCGATGCTGGTCATGATGTGTTGCCGATAATTCCGGGGCCGACTGACACCGCCGTCAATGACCCGAAGCAAGGCTCTGAGCGTGTGCCCCGCTCAAAAGTTGCAACGCCCAGGGTAGATATGCTGAATGTTGCAGTTCTTGGAAAGGATGGCTCAAAAGTTGGACGTCCAGGGCAGAGATGCAGACTGCGACAGTTTCTTGATCCCGCCCCCGGACTTAGGCAAAGACCGTGCACAGTCAGAACAAGTGATAGGGAAGGAAGAGGGCGTGATAGTAGTAGAGGAGGCAATGCGGGAGGGAATGAATGAGAGGCTCCGGACTAGAGTGCCCCCTTAGAATTTGCAACGCCCGGGGTAGATATGCGGAATGTTAGGTTTGTCTAAGCGGTTACCCAAAAGTTGCAGCAGCTAGGTAGATATGCAGAGCGTGGCAATTGCCTGATACCGTCCGGGTATGCGCAAGGGTGGGCTGCGGAGTAATAACGACGTTGCAAGGCGGCGAGGGTTGGGGGTTTGTGAGTGTTTTCTTGATTGGTGGGACTCCAAAAGAGGGCTGTGCGGACACATGAGTGGGTCACATGGATACCCGCGAACAGCTCAGGCCGTCGACAGCAAACCTTTAATGCGGACATCACATCAGTCCTTACCATTTTCCCCCGCACGTTGCAATCTGCAGCTTGCACTTTTCATCCTCTACCTGTAGCTAGCTTTCCTAAGAAAAAGTGCTGGGCAACGCCGTCCGCGGTAATGTGGAGCGCTCAGAAAATCCATAGGCGTCGCTAGTCCCCACTCCTTATAGGGCGGCATGTGTTGGAGTCCAATCGCCCAGCTATTCCTAATCAGGTACTAGCGCCACACACACGGAGATTTCTTCGATTTCTCGAAGCTCCATACACTCAATACAATACACCTCACCCCAATATGCTGTATTCCTCAATTTCCTACTTCAACGGCATGTTAAGGGTGCGTTCGTAATAACAGCTCCTCAACCCCGACCCCAACCCAACCCAACCACACACACACTCACACATAGAGAAACATCCTCTTGCCCGCTTATTCCGAAATCGCTTAACCTCGATACACCATGGAGATTGACGAGCGTCTTGAACTCATGCATGGGGTGCAGACCTCGATCTGGGCCCGGAAGGTGAACCAAGCGATCAACAGTGGGCAGCTTTGCGAGTGGGTGTCGACCTTTCACCCGACTCGACTCCCCTGTCAGCCCGACGACAGCACCAAGTTCAGGAACGGCGGGTACAATCTGGGGCAGAAGGTGATCTTCAGCGACGGGACCTCGTGGCTAGTCCGATTCGCCCAGGCCGGTTCTGTTTGCGACGAATACGCTGATGAAAAGGTGGCCGTGGAGGTGGAAGCCCTGAGCCTCATCCGCGCGCGGACGGCGATCCCCGTTCCAGCCATCCATGGCTGGGGCTCCTCGGAGGCCGACCCTCTTGGCCTCGGTCCGTTCATCATAATGGACTTCATCGACGGCGTCCCTCTGCAGGATATCCTCAAGAAGGAGGGTCAGGATGAGGGGATTATGAGGGACGACGTTGCCGACCACGACCTGGAGAAGATCTATCGACAAATGGCTCGCATCTTTCTCCAGCTTTTCCGTCTCGACTTTGAGTCGATCGGCAGCCTGCCAACCCCGGTGACCGGTTTCCCGGCGTCTGCACGCCCTCTGACTTTCAAGGTTCACGAAATCATTCAGCAGGGGGGAGTCGGTATGGCATCGTGCCCTCTGTCTAGACCTCCATGCCTCCCATGCGCTGGCTAATATCCGCTTTTCACAGGGGATCGTTCTTTGCGCTTCTCGGATACGGTAGAGTACCTTCGGTATGTCTTCGGACAGGATTGGGAGCAGCTTGCCCGCCAGGCAAACTCGGTTGCTGGTGAACACGAGGGCAGGCGGAAGCTGACCACATTCAACACCGTCCTGTCCCTGATTCCCAGCTTCGTTCATGCCGAGTACGACTGGGGCCCGTACAAGCTCGTGTGCGACGACTTTGGCCTAGCCAACGCCATCGTCAGAAGCCGGGACGACCTGACCATCGTCGGGATTGTGGATCTCGAGTGGTCTTATGCCGGGCCTGCCCAGCTCTTCGCCTCCCCGTGGTGGTTACTACAGACGCGGCTGAGCATCTACGATGCCCAGAGGGACAAGGAAGCACCCGAGGTCCTCGCGCGATTCCTCCGATGCCTCGAGATCTTCAAGCGTGTGCTGAAAGAAGAGGAGGCGGCGATGCGGGGACATGAATCCAAGGAGCTGTCCTCGCTGGTTGAGTGGTCGCACGCGTCGGGCGCCCTGTGGCTTCACATCCTCCTGTCCTCCGGCTTCAACTACCCCGACAGCATCCCGTTTGCGCAGCTGAGAGACCATTTCGGTGCTGACAAGTTTGAGCAACTGAACCAGAGATTCCTCCGCACTGAGGTGATGGAGGCGCTGGTGAAGAAGAAGATGAAGCAGTTGATGGAATACGATGACGCCTTTGATCAGGTGCAGGCATTGAAGGAAAGTCAGGAGGCTGGGGATATCAACGAAGAGGAATTCCTCACAGAGGCTGCTAAGCTGTGCTGATTTGCCTGGGACTTCTGGTTGTGTTTTGGCTGTTCCTCTTTCCTCTTTCTTTTATATATATATGTGTGTGTGTGTGTGTTTTTCTTCCCGACTAGGTCGATACGTGAAAAAGGATGTCTTCGTGCGGGGCCGGATCTGGGGTCAGCTCCGCCATGCTGTAGTATTGGATGAATTGCAGAGTATTGAGACATGAGTTAATTGATTGAGAATACGAGAAATATGGCTATATATATACATGACCAGGTCACGTGAAGTAGTAACCATATCCGGCAACACACCCCCCCAGCTTGGAGTGTATACGGAAAGCTGTCTGAGAAGGTGAGGCTTTTGACTATGCCCAAAAAGGTAATCGATGATCGTCTCCTGTGAATACACCCCTCAGTGCTGTGGTGTTCTGTGAGGGCCACCCCCCTTGTGAGAGGACCCTGTAGGGTTAAAAAGAAGTGCAGAAAGCAGAAGAACCGCGTCGTTGTCTGGGCGGTGGCTCGAACCTGGGAGCAAAAAGTGAAGTCGCTCTATTCACCCCTAGAGGCTCCGCTAAACAGCTCGAAAGCCTCGACAACGTTAAAGAAGGCACATACTATTGTACCTTTAGCCCGCCTAGCCGTGGCCGCGGACGTTAACTTTTAGGTAATAGTAGTTAAGAAAGAAATAGTATATATACAAGATTTAAAAACTAGTTTACTTCTATAAAGTGTAGAGAACTTAAAATAAGTAGAAAGAGTATATGCTTAAGAGAGGTAAGAGCTTTGTGTATAAGGTTAACTCTATTTCTAATTAGAAAGTCTAATATAGAACCTAGAGGTTAGGTTTAAATAGTAGAGCGTTTAAGTATTTAAGTAATAGTATAACACTCTTCTACTACTAACTTCTATAGCTTCTACGTTAGTAAAAAGAGACAGAGTAATATTAAAGGCGTAAATTAAACTTAAGAGCAGAGAGTAAAAAGAAAAAATACCTTATTTAACAGCTTTTAGAGTATTTTTATAGTTACCGTAGCTCTTTATAGCTTATAGTAACTTTATAGAGTAGATTATTAAGTAGATATTAATACGTTACTACGTATTTTATTAAGACTAGGCTTATTATAATAAACGTAGTCTATTAATTTTATAGTTAATCTAATAGATTATAATAAACGTAGCTAGTTAAGATATAATAGAATTACGTATAAAACTAGTATATATATACGTTAAAATTATAAGAAAATAGTTAAATAAGTATAGTAGACGCTTCTATAGTAGAGCTAGAAGTAAAATAAAAGTAAATAGTTATCTTAGAGATTCTAAAATACTAGCGAATTAGGTATATATTACTTAGGTTAGGTTTATTATCTAATCTAGTACTAGCGTAAGAGGTTCTTAGATAGCTTCTACTACTTTACTAAGAATAGCGAAAGCTTTAACTTGCTAGAAATATTCTTAAGCCCTAGCTATTAAATAAAGTAGGCGTGTTTTTAAGGTAATAGAATCTTTATAAGTCTATTAGCTAGTATTTAACCTATAGAAATTTATTTAATATTAATTCTTTAGTTCTTAACTTTCTAGCGAAGCTATATTTAGTATACGTTAACGTGTTTAAGCTTTATCTAAAGCTTCTCTATAGCCTTAGTTACTATACCTATAGTCTACTAATTATTATACTAAAGCTTTAGTTTAATATTAAGGTTTAGCTTTAGGTAGTAGAAAAGTAGGTTCTACTACTCTATTTCTAAAGCTATCTTTAAAAGCGCTAGAAGCTCTACCTTAGTTATTAATTTAGTTACTATTTATTATTTTATAGCTTTCTAATCTATAGGTAATCTATATAGCTTAAAGATATAGCCTTTAAAGCTTACTCTAGTATCTAAGTTATTACTAAATAAAGTATCTAAGGCTCTATAGAAGATAGGCTCTTTAAAATCTATCTTCTAGAAGTGTTTCTTCTTTATAGCGTATTATAACGCTTTAAGCGTAAGAGTTTTTAACTCTATAAGGTATTACTACACGTGTATAGTAGCGTAAAGATATTATTAACCTAGATTAATTAAGTATTAAGCTAATACTAAGTAAGCTCTTAATATATCTAGACGTATAAAGTAGAAAATATATACTAGTAAGCTAACTAGCTACTAGAAAAGCTTTATCTACTCTCTATTAGGTACCTCTATAGATTTCTTAAGGTCGTTCTCTCTTATAGAGTATTGTAGATACTTAGTACCTAGTTTTAGAAGTAGGTTAAACTTATTAGCAACCTTATTAATAAAGAAATTCTAGATTAGCTAGGTTAACACTACTTCTATATCTCTTACAACTCGTATACCTAGAAACTAATTAAGTTAACTTATCTTTCTAATCTTATACTTTTTAAGTAAGTAGCGTTTAAACTCTACGTAAACGTTTATATTATCTAGATAGATAAGTATAATAATATTATTAATAAAGAAGAAGACTATAAGCTTATTACTAGCCTATAGGTATAGTATAATACTTATTTTAATAAGTTCTAACTTCTTAAGAGTCTCTATAAGATTCTTATACTATAGTAGAGGTGCTTTCTTTAGCCTATATAGAGCTTAATATAACTCTAAAAGCTTGCTAAACTAACTAGTAAAACCTTCTAGAGTATAGTAGTAGAGCTTCTATAGAAGCTTTACGTTTAGAAAGGTATTTATAGCGTTGTACTAATATATTAGTAATCTAAAGGCGGTTACTATAGCTACTAGAGCTTAAAAGGTTCTTGCTACTAAGGTAGTAGTATAGGTATTACTCTATTATATTTAGAGGTCTCTTTAAACTACTAGATAAGCTTTATACTTAAGTAGATATCTATCTTTATTAAATTTATATAATAATACCTATATAAGTAGAAGATACTCTACTATAGTTAACGCTAGCGTTACTAACGTCTTCTTAAAGTACTCTTTCTTAAAGTAGTTACTAAACTCCTTCTATATAGTCTCTTTAAACTTAGCTTTAAATATATAGCCTTTAATATTCTTATAACACTTAGGTAGAGGTAGTATCTAATTATAGTAGTATTTTAATCTTATAGACTCTCTATTAACTCTTAGTTTATTAATATAGCTTACTAAAGCTATAAATACGTAGTTATATAAGTTTATTAATAGTATTAAGTTAAATATTTAAGCTTTCTTTTATGCTTTAATTACGCTAGCTATATATTTAGGCCTTAGAAAAGAGTATTTATAGCGTCTACTTTATATTATATTACTTAGGTCTTTAGAATTAAGGTTTTAACGTAGTAGAGTATTATTCTAGTACCTATCTAGCATATATTTAGAGTCTTCTATAGCTCTAAGAGGTCTTTATAGCAATTTAGCTTAAATAGTAGATAAGCTTAGCTTAGAGAGATTAGTCTTTCTTAACGCGCTTCTTAAGCTCTTACTATGTAGAGTAGAGTATCTTAACAACGCTAGAGTAATTAAGTAACCTCTTAGAGACTTATTACGCTTCTTAGCTTATTATTACTTCTTCTAGATTTATATTTCTAGGTCTTCTTTTACTAATTCTTTAGCTAGTATATATTACTCTAGTATTAACGTCTATTTATCTAAAGTTATATTAAATAGGCGTAATTAGCTCTATAGTAGTAGATCTTTAACCTCTACTATAAGCTCTTTATAAGAGATATTATATACCTTAATATTACTTATATTAACTACTAGAGACTTTCTATATTTACTACTATTATTCTTATATAGCTTATTACGTATAAATAAGACATCTTAAGTTTAGATAACCTTATTCTTTAAGAGTATCTAGATTCTAAAGATATTTAAGAAGTTCTATTCTAGTAGGTAACTAATATAAGTACGTACTTCTAGTTTATTAGCTTTCTTAAGGTTCTTTCTATAAATATATGCTTAATAGCTAATAGAAGCGTAATAAGCTACTAATAGTTTATAATCTATTACTATCTTATATAGAGTTTTTTAGCTATTTAATTTAATTAGCGTAGTATTAAGAATCTAAATAGCTATAATAAATAGCTCTAAAGCTAGCTTTTTAGGTAATCTAGCTATAATTCTTATTACTTAGCTTTTTATAATTATCGCGTTTCTAGCTTTCTTTATATAACTATTCTACTTAGACGTCTTAGGTAAGCTAGGCTTATATTTAATACCTAATTTAATATAGATTTTAGTAAGCTTATTACTAAAACTCTTCTTATTATTAGTTCTAAGTATAATAACTAAGTACTTAAATTAATGCTATAGTTTAGTAATTATTCTATATATAGTAGGTATTAATACTACTCTACTTTTTATAGGTAACGTACGTTCTTTATACTAGCCTAAGAATTTATTAATTACGTAGAGTCTCTACTTATTTTTGTTAAAACAGGTTTCTTCTATTAGTAGTAGTTAAACTAAATTTATCTCTATTTAGTAGAAGAGATACTTTATAGGCGTTAATCTAGGTTTCTAGAAAACTTAATAATTTATTTTTAACTATATATAGGTGTTATAGTTCTTCTAGTTAACTAGAGGTATATTCTTCTTAAGCTTAAAGCTAGTAATAGCCTCTTCTAGGTACGTAATAGCTTTCTTATTTAGATATACCTATAGTTAATAGACCTTAGCTCTAGTAGTAATTATTACTAGTTATAAATTCTTTAATAGTTAATATACTATTATAAATATAGTAAATATTTTCTATAGATTAGAGTAGCTATTTTTATCTACGTTAAGTAGCTAGTACTTCTATTTATACTCTAAATTATAGACTATATTACTAGGCTTATTCTTATACAGAACGCCTCTACTAGAGTTAAAGTAGATTCTAATATCTTAAGAGCGTATAAGCTCTATAACGTTTATAAAGAAGCTCTCTACTAATACTATATAGGTAAGGCGTATTAGAGTTAGTTCTAATAGAGTATTAGTCTAGAGAATTACCTCTCTCTAAGCCTTAACTCTTATAGCTTACTCTCTAGCGTATATAACAATGTTTAAGTTAGCTTCTACTATCTTTTTCTAGCTCTAATTCTCTAAGTTATAGACGTAAATATTAGAGCTAGAGTTATAAATCTACTTATTAATAAGGTATAGAGCTATTAGAACTACTTTCTAAGTTTCTAAAACCTTAGCTATTATACTAAAGAAGTAGAATATAGAGTTAGTAGAAGAGGTACTACTTATTAGCTTATTATTATTAAAGCTTAGTAGAGTAGTACTTGCTTTTAGTATAGGTTTATTTTACTATTTAGAGGTTCTCTAATTAGTAGCTTATTTAAACTTCTTAGTCTACTTCTTTTTCTTCTTTTTCTTATTAAACTTAGCCTAAATTTCTACGTTAGGCTTCTAGCCTATTAGGTAGATCTTTAGGTTAACGTAAGAGCACCTGCTAAACTAGTAGTAACGCCTATAGAAGTACTCTAGTATCTCTTCTTAAAACTTACTACGTCTCTAGCTCTAGTTCTATTATTATAGTACTACACCTAGTGTTATATACGTTTCTAGGCTAGCTATAATAGGTTTAGTAGCTCTTTATAGCTATCTAAATTCTATAATAAGGTCTATAACTATAGAAGCTTAATTTTCTAGCTAGATAAATAGCTGCGTAATTCTAAGTATAGAGTACGCTTTATTAATTAGTTAAAAAGCCTTAAGTAGCTCTCTCTAGGCTTATATACTCTATACGTCTAGTATATTAAGTTTAGCTATATAGTTAGTAATCTAAATCTATTTATTAAGCTAGTTATCTAGTTTATTACCTCTTTAGGTCTTCTAGACTTTTTTATATTATTCTAGTAGTACGTCTTATTATAATACGTTAGTTATAGTAATCTATTTCTTTAAGCTTATAAGTCTTTTATAAGCTATATCTTTATCTATAATATATAGTATAAGGTAGGTATTAATTATTATAGTAATATATACTAATACTTTTCTTAGACCTTTCTATATAAGAAGGTGCTTCTTAAGGTTCTTCTTATACCTTTCTTTCTAGTTCTAATACTCTAACTTTTTATTAGTATTAAGGTTCTTTATCTTTATAGCTTCTTACTTAATTATTAATAGCGTTAGGTATTTAGGCTTCTTCTAAATTCTTTTACGTTCTATCTCTTTTAGATCTAGGTTATAGTAGGCCTAAACTTTATATTATATAGTCTTTTCCTTTACAAGAAACTTCTAGTAAGGCTAATTCTATAGTATACTAAGTATTTTAATAGCTTTTATAACGTTAGTAATAGTAATAGTATTCTCTATTATAGAAATTATAGTACGTAGAGCTAATTTAATCGTGTACAGCGTATTTCTAGAATAACTCTAGAATCTATTAGCGATAATAAGGTGTATAAGTTAGTAACTCTATTATCTAATTGTATTAAATAAACTTAGCAGGTTTAATTTACTATAGTAGGCAAATCTAGACTTATAACTATTAGATAAATTGTAGAGTATTAAGACATAAGTTAATTAATTAAGAATATAAGGAATATAGCTATATATATACATAACTAGTTTACGTGAAGTAGTAACCATATCCGGCAACATGTAGTTATCTCTAGGGTTTGGAGTCGAAGAAGAGCATGCATCGGCATCTGGAAAAATAGTTAGCCTAGCTATTTTGCGGTCAACACGACTGGAGCCGGGACGTTACCAGATTGCATATCCACCCCTCCCTCAGTCAGGAGCTCGTCGATGTCCGTCTCTTCCGCAGCCGTGAGCGCGTTGAACTCGAAGGAGGAATTGCTCTCCAGCTCTATGATGCCAGCTCCGCTGTCGTTCAAGGTGTCGTCGCAAAGGTCCCAGAAAGTGCCTGTCTGAGGACTCTCTCCTTGTCCGCGTCTGTTGCTGTCAAAGCTGTCGTGCATACTGTCCTCCATAGTCGTGTCCTACGAGTGCCGTGTCAATCGAAAGATCGAGAAAGAAAGTAAGGTCGTGGGAAGGAAAAGGAAAGGGACTTGACGAGATAGATGAAGTCCCCCTACAAGCAGGCCTCCATGGAAGCGAACACATGCCTCGCGCATGCCCTGGCTCTGGATCGACGGAACTTCAGGAGGAAGGGTAAGTATGCCGCCGAGTAGCCAGCGGACGCAACGCAGATCTCCGGGACTACTACTTACACAACCTGTCGTCATTTTGCTCCTACCACCTCGTGTATGTGGATGAGTCTGGGTGTGACAAGCGAGTCGGGATCAGGCGGACCGGATGGTCCCCTCTAGGAACAACGCCTGTACAGATAGCCAGGTATCGACGCGAGCAGCGATACCAGATTCTGCCGGCGTACACACAGGATGGGATCCTTCTTGCGCGTGTATTTTAGGGTACAACAGACGGGATCGAACAGCTCGTTTCGCGCAGAAAGTGCGCCCGGCTCCGCAGGTTGGAGCGAATGTACTTGATGGCGGAACACTGCAGCCAGCTGCGTTAGCGATTTGAGCAGCATTGAGCTCGTTACTTATGATCATATCGTGAATCATCGGGCGCTGGGAGACGGTGAGATTTGGCGCCATATCTCGTAGACTGCGGACTCGGCGCGGCCAGTGGTGGTGATGTTGTTGGAGTGGAGAGAAAGGTTGGGTGCCCTGACTGAGTCTCAGCTGGCGCTTCATCGCACGCGACGCCAGGTACCCATCTGTTCTGCTGTTTGAAGGTCATACAAGTGTGATTGCTGCCTACGCCAAGGGTCCTAAAGGAACCAACCAAGGCCAGGCTCTGCGTGAGCTTCGGGCGCAGAATCTATTACCCCGCAGCCGCGTTTGCCGTACATATATTTAGGAATCCTAATGCTCTTCGCTTTAGCAACAGTCTTCCATCTACATTAATATTTATCCGACGTCTTTCACTTTAGCCTTCCTTCGGCGGTATCCTGCAACCGGCATACAGGGATTGGACATGTGCAAAGAATACAGGACCACGTACTTGTACGTTGGTGGTGGTTGCAAGATCGGCGTATGCGATGAGATCAAGTATACTGCGGATCCATGCGATGAGAAACCAGCGAGTGGAATTCGAACCTGTCATAGGTATCAAATGATCAATTCTGGATCTACCAGAAGGGAAGGTCCACGTCCAGGCCATGATCACTCCAGCTCCGCCTAGGTACGTGAATATAGTTGATTATGGCTATCCGCTGACTCGAAGATGCATTATCTAGCAGACGCTGCTTACGTCCTACTCGAGTCCTAGTCGACATTACAAGAGACATCTCCTCGTCGTCGTCGGTGTCGTTCGCTAGAAAGTGCGTACTGGGAGAGACTCTGGGAGATAACTGGATTTGGAAACAACTGTATCAAGTCCCGCTTCTGGATATTGCTTAGGATGGAGACATCATTTACTAGTTCTTGCAAAGCGTCAATCCGTAACCCTGCACCTTTCTATCTTCCATACGTGATCTTAATGTCTTGGAATGTCTTCCGCCGAAGAATATACTCCTGTCCAGCAGCCTTTGATAATATGACCAAATAGAAGTCCCTCAGTCTCCGGAAACTCTCCCGCTTCAAACAATGACTGGATGAGCTCTCCTTCCAAATCTTCATACGGAGCTTCACCAGCTACAAGCTCATAGAGTGAAGAACCAAAGGCGAATAAGTCTGACGCCACCGTATTGCTTTCGTTGGCGTCCCGAGGGAGGAAATAGCTTGGCCTCTCGAGCCCCAGGGCCCGTCTTGCTCTTAGTCCAAGGCCTGGCTGATCGTCAAATCCGGCCGCATTGAAGTCGCTGAGCCGCGCATTCAGCATTTTGTCTACCAGCCATTGGTCCAGCCTGAAATCGGAATGCTTAACTCCCTTGGAATGGATGTATGCGACACTTCCAATCATTTGACTCGCCCAACGTTTTAAATCCATCTCTTCAATGCGATTCTTATTGATGTACTCCTTCAGGTTTCCGTTCGGATAGTACTCGAGCTCGATATATTCTTTCTCGGGTCCAATAGACAGACAGTTGGCGATAAGAGGGTGGCTTCCCAGTATATAATAGACTTCAGCTTCAGTCGTGCATGCCTCCCTGTTTTGCTGTGTGATGTACTCGTCATCAGCGAGTACATGACATTCTTTCCTGACAATGTTGCCCATCCGATAAGTTTTGGCGCCCATTCCCACCATTAGCAGCTCGCGCTTTGGAGTGAAAGGTGCCATTAATCGTAGGAGCGGGAACAGTCTGAAACCTTTTTGATGTTCTAGAATGGGACTTCAACGAGTGTACGAAGGTTTGTATTGTGGTGGTAAAGAAGTGAAGCGTTTACCCCTCCGACGATGCACGTGGTCCGCGCTGTCGTGCTGACTAAACAACAAACTCCAGCTCCACGCCCCAGCCCGTCCATCACGATCACGCGGCCTACTCCGATCGGTACCTCCCCTAATCAAAGGATGATAGTCCTAGTCTAGCGCGAAACGCCACCCACTAATTCCACGTGATAAAGACCACATGATTTCAAATCAGCCAAGCTGAGTTGTGGCTGGTAAGTCTACCTCCGGGGCACGGCATGAATTTCAGTCACGTGAAAATTTGTCAGCCAATCGAACCAATAGGAGACAGTCGATCAGTCACGTGACTGAAATTCATGCCGTGCCCCGGATATGATTGTGGCTTGTTGACTATCGCGGTTCCCAGCCTCCCGAGCCCTTTTGGGTACGGCCATTCCGTCCCCAATTCTCTCTTTCCTCTTCCATCTACGCATCCTATCAACGTCCCATCATCAACATCATGGCTTCCATGTTGAGCCCGTGTCCTCCCAGCATGGACTCCCCCGAGAATACGAGTCGAACCCTCCTAGAGCCGAACCTTCAGGTCGAATTCGCATCGGACCCTCCTCACCGAGAACCCGCATCGAAATCGAACCCGACCGCATCTGCCCTCACCCAGAGACCATTTGTTACATCTACTCAAGACTTATCTGGTCTCTTCTCACACTTCTCCGACGATAGTAGACGCGAATTCCAGTACGCTTCGTTCGCCTTCGTCACTGAAGACCACACCGTCTATTATGGCCGATCGCCGACGAGGAAGGTTACCCCGGAAATTGTCAATGAGAGCTTGAAACAAGTTCCAGACGAAGACGTTTACCCGGTGGACCCTTATTGGGCAAAAGGATCGTCCAATCCTTCTGCTCTTCAGTTATGATGCCTTATATATTCGGTAACACACCCCCCCAGCTTGTAGGTCGCTGTTGCGAGTGGAAAGCTGCCTCTTATTAGGCCAGCTACCTCTGGACCATGCCTCTCTGGGTCATGCCTCTGGGCTTGTGGTGGTTGATGCGGGGTTCGAACGTGGGGTGTGGTATGACTCGCGGAGTAGCGATAGCGTCGTGAAAATTTTCGTGCGGAATTTCCGGGCTCATAACTATTGGGCAAAAGGATCGTCCAATCCTTCTGCTCTTTAGTTATGATGCCTTATATATTCGGTAACAACCCTTCACACGTCACTATCGCAACGATGACGACGGTGGACAGTAGTGTCTTCATCAAGCGGCCTTCATTCTCTGCTCTTGATGCATTGCAGGGCTCTGGGCTGCTGGCAAATCTGTTTCTACAAGAACTCGAAGTACTTGAGCTTCTAGCGAGCCGACCCCATCCCAATATCGTCCAATATTACGGCTGCCAGGTCTGTCGTGGCCGTATCGTCGGCCTGACATTGGAACAACACCCCTACACACTGCAAGAGTGTCTGAGGAACGGCTACGATCTGGACTTGGTGTCGGGCCAGGACGAAATCAAGTCGGCGGTAGCGCATCTTCACTCTCTCGGGCTCGCTCATAACGATATCAGGCCGAACAACATCATGGTCAGCGTAGAGCGGAGGTGGATTTTGATTGACATGGGCGCTTGCAAGCCCTTCGGACAAGATCTGATCACATCTGGCAATCCAGACTGGACAACTTCATCGAAGCAGAATGATGAGGTTGCTTTGTGCGATCTTCAGATTATGCTTCATCATAAAATATGACTCAGGTTATACATCTAGCTAGCTCCGCCACCTCCAATCCTCGTTCCCGCTGTTCTCGCAGGCCGCATCGCGAGCATGGCCTCCACATTCAAGGCTCCATTGTTCGCTGGATTTGTGCTCGATGCTGGGCAGCTGGGTCTCTGACAGTCCACGTCGACTACAGTGGTGTTTCTTCTCGGTAGCCCATTGACGACAGTGATGTAGGATGCACTAGTTTGATGGCACCTACTCATCATTAGCCCGTCCAAAACCAAGTGGCTCTACTCACATAGTGGCATAGGGGTGTTTCTACAGCTCTAGCCAAAGGAGATGTTAACACCCTTGGTTTCTTATCAGCTCGCTCCTTGATCTCGGGGTCAAATATACGCTTGATCCACTGTAAGCTAATATACGAGTCGGAAAATCCATTCTCGGAGAACGCAAAGAGCCATCCAGGTGTCGGACGCGTGGTCTAACTAGCAGTCCATGCTCCAACTCCAACTCCAATCCTCGTGCCAGTAGCAACCGCACTAGCTCCATAACCGCCCATAGCTGCACTCTACATTGTGGCAAAGAAGCCGTGTGCTGGAGTCGACGCCGTCTGAATAGCGCTAGCGATGGAAGCTATAGACAATCAGCTGATAAACTGGCTTCTACCATCGTAGGGCTTAAACTTACCGGCCCGCGGCCCTACGCTCGTCCAACCGAAAGCAGCCAACAGAGGTCCAGAGAGAAGTGCGGGATAGGAGAAGACCACACCGGAAGCAACATAGAAGCTTGTCTGGTAGGGATGGGCGATGATGTACTCTTTGACGTCGTTCGGTAGTTCATCCGAGGAGACAGCGACGACACGCTCCTTGGCTGCTTCGGAGACGTTCTTGATCCAGTCCATCACAGAGGCGGGGTGTTCAGATGGTTGACTTGGGAAAGCAAATCGTCAACTTCCAAAGTCTTAGTAGGAGGAAAAATGAGATTCTTACTCAGTAGTGTCGTCGGCCATTGCTTCTAGGACGCTGCGCAAGGCTGTACTTCTATGCGGCGTATTTTGGAATAGTGGAATGAAGTGTCTGAAGACAACGGCTTGGCACGGACAATCCGGTGGAGCCGTCGCCACGTGACGAGCTACGGGCGGCCTCTTGCTGGGATGGCGTGTTGGGAATGCAGTGAGCGAGCGGGCGGCCTCTTACTGGGTCGGCATTCTCGGGTCGATGTACAGGCGCAATGCTCAGTAGAAAAAGAACGAGGAGTTATGAAATCGGACGATCCTCCAGAGCCTTGAGTTCCTCAACACATTCATTGACCTGATTGTATGCAAGTGACCAGCATTTGTGAATGATATGCCCACCCATGACTCCATCGAGCGCAGGGAATCGTCCATCCGCGTATCGCTTCTCGATTTCTTCCTCGTCGTCAAGCTCATCCAACTCTGGAAAGGGTTCATAACCAACCATGATTTCATAGAGGGTGGAACCAAGCGCAAAGAGGTCGGACTTTTCATTTGAGTGAGTAGATGGACGAGGAAGATATGATTTGACGTTCTCCAGCGCGTGTCCATTAAAGACGACCCCGTTTTGGTCGACGTATATGCCTTGGAAGTCAGAGAGCTTGACGTCCAGATTCTTATCCAGCAGAAAGTTTCGAGTGCTAATGTCGCAATGAATGACGTTCTTCGTATGAATGTATGCAATAGCTTCCGCAGCTTGTCGACACAACTTAATTCGATCGCGACATGCAAGAGAACGAGCGTGGTTAGGATCGCGGAGGAGATTTCTCACTGTTCCTCTTGTTGCGTACTCTAGCTTGAGACCTCGTTCGTCTAAGCCATAGAAGGCGAGGATCCTGGGATGAGAGCCCAAGGCTTTGTATATGCGTTGTTCGATAACGAAAGTGTCCCATTGTTCCCCTGCAATGCGCGGATATTTTAATACGGTGTCATCATTGACGCGGCCTATGAAGCTAGACGACCCAAAACCAATGACTTTATCGACACCTTTCGGTAGATATAGGGGTACGGTTCGGTATTCCATGTCAAACAGGAGAATGGCGAAGGAGGATGGTTGGAATAGTGCGTAGTATACTGTCGTGCGCAGAAAGCTCTAGCGGAGGCTGTTAGCACAATCAAAACTATGCGGAGGAAATCGCATACAAGGACATAAGAGACGGAATGAATGCGCGAGCGGATGGCAGAGGATGCGGGACCCCATTTAAGTAGATTTTAATGTCTTGTTCATCTTGTAGTGCGTTGCGGTATCGGAGTTTGGAGTTGTTCCGTCCCGACCTAAGGCTTAATAACCACCGCTGATCGGTTGCATTCCGCAGCATCTTCAGCCAGCACCTCGAAGCCTGCTCCACCTACAAAACAACCAACAACATATTGCGCACAAGTGCTACAATTTCCGACTAGCACGTCCTGCTATACGCCTTCTCTTATCCCGAAGGTTTCGGCGACGATTCCGGGTCTGAAGCGTCGAGATGGCCGCGGACGCCACCGCCATCGAGAGCGAGCAGGCGGAGGTCATGCTCGGGCATGACAGGAAGGGCGAGTGCGATGGTTCAGCGAAAAAGCCTGGTTTTGGCAAACATCCTCGAGTGATCGTGGGCGCCGCAGCGTTACACGCTGCGCGCGCTTTTAAGGGTCTTGACCGCCTAGTCCTAGCAAGAGACCATCGTCGCAAACGTACCGTACACGGGTGTTCCACGCCGGCGTCTTCGTTGACAAGTTAGCCGACCTTCCGCCCCCGGTCGACGACAAGGACGAATACTGGGAATCGAGTCGTGGGAGGATCAAGTGGCGGCCGGAATCCGTTACAACGACGAGCGATACGTCCTGAATCCGTTACAAGCTCAACAACGTCGGGTGCTTCGGGCGCAAGAAGGGGGAGGAGCAGGAGCAGCAGCCGGACCATTACGCGGAAGAGGTCTTCAAGCAGCATTCAGGCATCGATGCCGCCTCCAAAACGGTCATGTTCGGACTCGCCGGTCAAGCAAGATACACACCGACGAAGAAATCGCGTTCACCCTTGTTGTGCGAGATGTTGGGAAGAGCATCTACGAAGGACGTTCTCCACGCGGCGTACTGACCGGATTGCTTGGCGGCATTAAAGGTGAGCACCACACGAAGTTTTCTAGGCAATGGCTGATTTGTTAGGACATGAGTCGCTACTGTAATTACCTCTACGTATACATACAATATACCAAATATACCAAATATATACAATATACCAAATATTTAAGAAAAAATCCAGATATTCCGAATATGTGCAACCCTACGGAGCAGCGCGATATCGTTTCCGTGGAGCCGATGGATAAGGTGCAGGCGCTGGCGCTCTTTGAGAAGAAGCTAGGATTTCGTGATCCAAACCCAGAGGTACTCGTGATCAACATCATTGAAGTGGACAATGACGGAGGAGTATACGCGGACGGAGGGAATACGCAAACGAAGTCCTTTTGTTCCCCGTTGATCCGATACAATACACGGGGAAGAAAATACTCGCCGTGCCGAGATGCTGTCAGCATAAGAAAGGCACGCAGGATCGCAGGCGAATAAATAGCGAGGTAGCTGAGAGAGATAGCGAGATCCAGGAATGTTCGCAACGGTGATGCCGTCTGCAATGTTACTTAAGACGCTGGGAGGCTTTGTCGCGGGAGGGCTGGTCAGCTACGCCTGTCCACTAGGATAACTCATGGCAAGCCCTGTTCCATTGCGCCGAAAATGCGACGAAGGCTAACTCTCTACTGTACAGTAACAAGTCGCTGCCCACCCTCGACCGTCCCTAAAACGCGCTCGTAGTCCATGCCCAAGGGTACCTCAAACGAAACGACGTCGACCGCCATCATTCAATAGTATTCGCTATGACCTGGAAGCCAGGCAGCGCAGCACGCACGCTCAGTCCTCACTCATCGTCGTCCTCGTCGCCTACAAGCCGAATGCAGTTGTCGCCGAACTATCCTTCAAACTCTGCAAAGAGGGTGAATCTGTGGCGGTCGCTGAGGCCTTTCACCAAGCTCAATTACACGTTGACCGTCAATCTCAGGAACTCGCTCAAGAAGTGAACCGTATGGTCGCTGCTGGGAGCAGATATTGCCATCTGGCACAGCGACTTAGAGGGTTAGGTGTCTTAGCCTTCCTTCCCCAATGTGGAGGCCCTAGTCTGTAAGGTCATACGTGAACGCCATGCGGTTTGTATGCTAATATGATGTTTAGCTGGGAGAACCATATAGGCAAGAGCGGTACCGCTTTCGAAAAAGTGGCTAAGAAACTTCAAGACGATGGACTTCCAGCAAAATCGGAGCCATATCATGAGCTTGCGGGGGACATCGTTGCAGTAGGCAAAGGCGGTATGCTTCAACAGCTGCTCCAACGCGAATTGTAACTGACCTGTGTAGACATTTCTACCGCTGACTTGGTACAAAAACATTGCCGCACGAACCGCAGTCCAGACGGCCCAGAGCATACAAGGAAGCGCCCCAGAGTCGCCAGGGAAGAGGGAACTGTAGAAGCATTTCAGTTGAGCAACTTACAAGGCCATGGTAGAATAAGTGAACCACCTAGCCAAATGGGTGAGTCTACCATATTTACACAAGGTACAAGACTGTTAACCACTGTAGGACCTGCAACCTTTTTCGCTCTACCTAGAGTTGCAGGTGAGCAGAGCTCATCTACTCGGCCAGAGTCTACGGACTCAGCAGGTATTGAAACATCAAACCGTAAGTTCGCATCATCTTTTCTGGTCCCGTACTAACGGTTTGGTAGTTGTTCACCCTAAAGCGCTTAGTCTTGGCGATTGCGTGACAGCGTCCAGACTGCGATATAACCTGGCGTCGACGCAAACGGTTGCATGCAGCAACCGTTCAAATATTAATCCGTCTGGAGCCAGAACAAAAGCCTTCGCTGTTGGATACTGCTGAAGTAGTGGCATCCCAGCCTGCCTGCAAGTGGAGACAAGAGCAGGTCATCACGCAGATTCTCACCGGATGGAACACGTCAGTTCTCACCAGATTGACTAGGATAGCACTGCATCCAAGCCGCTCCTTGATTGACGCAAATGGATATAGACGCTTCGTAGTCACCTATTGCGATGAAATATAGACTCCTTCCCAGAACCTTTACTCCTTGGAGTAAATCCTGGCTCCGTGAAATTTCGTCCCATCTCGATCCGAATATCAGACAACACACATCACTATGCCTTGTACATGCGATCGCCGCATCGTACGTAGGATATTTTCAAACTGTACCGCAACTCCGAAGCATAAGACACAAGATACCTCATTCGTCCACTGCGGTGATCGTGGAGGCCCAAACTGCACGGGATACAAGGACGTACACCTCGCCAGCTCGACGGTTAGGACACCGGGGAATATTTGCCCGAAGTGTTAGATACCTTCTGTGGTATGTAGCCCATTCTGGTAAATCCTACGTTTCCACGCTGAGAATTTCTAAAGGAAGTGGCCCCAGCCATTAGGGGATGCGACCTTCGTACTACCATCTCGACATCGAACCAGTTTAGGAAGGAGCGAATGTGACGGATAGGACGTGGTTGGTGTGAAGAGCACGGCCTGGGACTGGGAACCCCTTTAATATGCACTACATTGATTGTATCTCTCTCGGCTCATCGAGTTCTATCCCCGAATGCGGGTAATTTATGTTGTGAAGGTGTAAACCTTGTTCCGCTGTGCACATCGCTGATTGGCTGCCGTAGCCTGGCCATGTCGGCCTTTTAAAACACAGACCTCCCGGGCGCACGGCCAAAATTATAACCCAAGCCTAAATCGACGTACTTCAACCGCAGAGATCTCTACCGGCAAGCTTCCACGACTTCACCAATATCTTTAGACCATTCTAACTTTACCATGGACGAAATAGGAGGAACTGTTCATTTTTACCAGGTTTACTGTCCTCCTAGCGTGAAGCGATTTCTTGCGACGGGAAGCAGCGCATTTATTAGCGAGGTAGACGACTTAACTGTCTTAAAATATCCTCGTGCCCCAGGCGAAGATATAACCCGCCTGGAAGTAGAGAGTAAGCTTCTTAAGGTTGTTGGGCAACATAAGCGGGTTATAGGGTTTAAGGGCTTCTCTAAGGCCAGCCTATGCCTAGAACAGGCGGTGAACGGAACCGTCGCCTACTACCTGCTAGAATCTAGCAAACTAAACCCTTCGCTTAAGCTGCGCCTAGCTTAGTACCGCGAGGCTGCTAAAGCAGTCGCATGGATTTATAGCCGCTGTAAAAGAAGAATCTACGTATAATCCTTTAAACTAAGCTAGTAGCAACAGGGTAACAGTAGAACATACGAGTAAAAAGTAGTTAATTCTAGAGTATCCTATAATACAATCCTCTACTCTTCTCTCTAGGCGGGAAATCGCGACTATATCTAAGAAGAGCGGGCGGGGTAAGCTAACACCGCGCTAAGCAAATCTAGCCCCGTCCAGGCTAGGCTAACGCGGTACTAGGCTAATCTAGCCTAGTCTAGGCCCTGTTAAAGCAGCCTAGGTACTACTCGTAATAGAGAGTCTCTTCTTAGAAAGACTTAGCCTAAGTTAAAGCGTAAAAAATTCTTCTTTAGAGTAGTCTATATACTTACTAAGGTAGTCTATACACCTAGCAATTTAGCTAGCGTTAGAGTTTAGGGGTATAAAAACCTAAAATCTTAGCTAAATCTTTCTACTCTATTCTTCTTCTTTTCTTTCTCTCCCTGCTAATTAGTAAGTTTTTCTAAACTTTAGCTAAGATTTAGGCAAGCCTAATCTAGGCTAGTCTAGGCTAATCTAACTCTTCTATAGTTTTTTAGCTCTACTCTATTCTTATTAACGCCTACTCTTACTCTTCGCGGCCCTATCTAGCCTTCTTAATTCTAATCTAGCTCTTTCTAGAGCTCTCTAGCTCTCTCTAGCCGCGTCTACTATAGGTCTAGCTAATTATTATAAGACTTGTCTAGACAACGCGTATACGCGCGCAAGGTACTTAGCTAATAGTTACGTAACCTACTTTAATAAGACCTTAACTACTATATTCTTAGATAAGTAGAACGTAGTACCTATATACTAATTCTTTATTAAGAAGAACGTAGGCCTATAGAGCTATAAGGTCTATATCTTATTAGAGTAGATTAATAAGAAAGAGACTAATCTCTTGCTTAAGTATAGCAACTACTTTAAGAAAGGTAGAGATTGCTACTAGGTATATAGTCTAGCCTAATCTAGGCTAATCTAGGCCTTCTAGGTTTCTAAGAAGGTTGCTAAGCTACTAATTTCTTTATTAGAGCGAGTCTTGCTAACAAACTACGCGACTAGAGTTCTTAACCTTAAATCTCTTAAGCCTACCGCCTAGGCTAGCTTTAAGGCTAAGCTAGAGTAGGTTATAGACAAGCACCTTAAGTAAGTATAGCTAGGTGTAACCTAGAGAGATCTAGGCTAATCTAGGCTAGGCTTACTAAGAATAAGCTTACCTATAATTCTCTAACTCTACTATATTTAGACTTGTCTTGTTTTATTAATACTAGCGTTCTTAGTATAATAGAGAAGAAGAAGAAGAGTTACTTAGCTAGTCTAGTAAAGCTGCTTAAGAACTTACCTCTAGCTACCTTACTAAAGTAGATTTGTTAGGTAAGTATCTACTCTATACTAATCTAGGTTGTTCTAACCTAATCTAGGCTATCTCTAGCTTAGAGAGAATTCTAGCCCTCTAGGCTAAGGTTGCTCTCCTTTAAGAACACGTTAACTTTTTTATCTAGCACGTTCTAGCTATAATAAGAAAAAGGTAGAGTCTATAAAATAACTTTATCTAGAGCTAGAATGCTAAGTAGCTAGACTAGAATAAAAAGTATCTAGACAAGTAGGTTTAGTAAATCTAGGCCTCTTAGAGGTAATCTAGAGTTAAGAGTCTTAGTTAGGTAGGTAGAGGTCTCTTTTTCTTAAATTAGGTGTCTTTATAGAGCTTTAGCTATAGTATACCTAGTTCTTATATTTTTAGCGTTTTTTAGAGAGCTCTAGGTAGATCTAGCCTAATCTAGCCTAGTCTAGAGTAGTTCTTAGAATAAGAATTATTTCTAGAATTTACTAACGTTTTAGAAAATTATAACTTAGTAAAAATATTTTTTTAAAAGAATTTTTTTAAAATATTAGAATTTAATATTAGATTTAGTCTAACTTATATAGGCTTATCTAGCCTCTTAGAGCTTTACTACTTTTTATCTAGTCTAGTTTAGCCTAGATTAGCTAAGATATTTCTAGTTCTGTTCTATTTAGCTATATTAATTTTATCTTTTCTTTTTAGAAGCTTAACTATAAGTCTTTTGTTCTATTAGTTCTAATTCTTAGTAGAATTTATTTAGAACCTCTTTAGATATATCTTCTACTAGGTACTACTTATTTACTAACTTATTCTATTCTCTCTAGCGTATTCTATATAGCTACTAGTTATCTACTCTTTTTCTTTCTATAATATAGTCTACTAGGTACGCTACGTTCTCTATTTAGAGTAGTATTTACCTAGAGGCTAGTTATTCTCTTAAAAGAATCTAATCTAAGAGAGCTAGCTCTAGAAGGCTAATATAGAAGGTTAGGTAGATATTAAGAGTATCTAGAAGGTTAAGTCTATACGCTTAAGTGCTATATTTATGTATAATCTAGTAAGGTCTAAGAAATTTATTATTAAGTTTCTTCTTTAGGCGTTCTATTATTATATTTTAGACGTTTAGATATATAAGTTAGCTAACTTTATATTACTTTAGCTTATGTTTCGTATTATAGTATTATGCTTGCTAGACTTAGGCCTTTTCTAGTTAAGCGCGTACTTCTTAGATAATCTAGCGTAGTCTAGCGCTATAATCTAATACCTTTATAGAGTCGCCTCTCTTTAGCTTTAGACCTATCTAAATAGTAGTAGGTAGAGTCTACCTATACACTACTTTAAAAGAAGCTCTTTAAGTTAACTAGTAGACTAAGTTATTATAGGTATACTCTACTTCTAATAACTACTAGGCCTAGTTATTCTATTTAAAGTTATAATATATTTAAAGGTACTACTCTAGAGTTTAATTCTGCTATTTAGTTTAGCTATCTATCTATAGGTAAAAGGTAGTAGAGAGTAGCCTTTTCGTGCCTAGAACTTAGGCGAACGTGCTCTAGTATACTAATGTAAATATACTACTCTAATCTAATATAATTAACCTTAGAAGGCTATAGAGTTAGATAATCTCTCTTATAAAAACCTTAGCTAGCTCTAGAGTATCTAGATTACTCTTAACTAGTATATAGTATACTATCTTAGAGAATCTATCTATAACTACTAGAATACTATTAAAAGCTTATTTATTATATATACTTAGAGGTAGTTTAGTAATTATATCTATAGAGATATCTTACTATAGTTTATTAAAAGTAAGTAGAAGTTAAAGTAAACTATATTAGGTATATCTAGAGGTTTTAGCTCTTTAGTAAGCCTAATAGGTACTTATATAGTTCTTAATATATTTTTAGACCTTTAGCTACTAGAATTTACGTTAGATAAGGTTAAGAGTTCTACTAAACTTAAAATAACCTACTAATAGGTTATTGTAGCAAGCTTCTAGTATCTAGAGTCTAGCTCTCTTAGAGATATAAAGTCTATTCTTAACTAGTAATAATCTCTCTTGTACTTTCGCCTAGCGTAGTATCTAGAGTACCCTCTATTAGGCGGGCCTTAACTACTCTAATTTAACTCTCTTAGCCTACGCGTTGTCTACTATTCTCTTAGTAATTAACTTTACTAAGAGGTTTACTAGGTCTCTAGCGCTCTCTATAGGTTCTATAGTTATAGCTCTTTCTAGAGTCTAACTCTGTAGAGTAACTGCTGCTTAATAGTAGTCTAGGCTATTCTAGAGTAGACTAAGCCTAGTGTCTCTTATCTCTACACTCTTTCTATAGAGTAGGTTAAGCTTACGTAGTAGCTCTCTATAAAGACGCCTCTAGCTACTTAGAGTACCTTCTTCTTTAGAATCTTAGAATTTATAATCTAGTCTTCTAGAAGGTCTATTCGCTAGGTTTAATCTACCTAGTTAATGCGTAATCTTAAAGTTAAAGGCTATAAGCTATTTAGCCTACTATACCTAGCGTCTAGATAGAGCCTTAGTAGTTATAAATTCTTATAGATTAGCGTAATTAGTAAGAAGCTATACCTTATAGAGTATCTCTTCTAGATAATACCTCTAATACTTAAAGACTTCTATAATTATAAGTAGTTTACTATTATAGGTGTTATAATTCTACTTAGTAGAGATTATCTTTCTAGAAAAAAACGCGACTAGGTACTACTATTTCTTTCTCTAGAGATTAATTCTAGTCTAGCTTAGAATGCCTAAGATTACGTATCTAGAGGCGTTAGTCTCTACTTAAATAGGCTAGTCTAGGCTAAAGTATACTAGAAGAGAGCTCTTTATAAACTTTTCTTTTAGTTTTTTAAACGTAGCCTTAGTCTTTTTACTTAGCTTAATATTCTATAATTTCTCTTTTTTTTATTAATACTCTCTTTAGCTAGACCTAAGCCTTAGGTAACTAGATTAAGAGAGGCGGTAATTTAAGAGAACTCTTTAATAAACTACTAGTAGTAATTTATAAAGCTAATAAAGATTTAAACCTTATAGACTAATTTTAGTATTAGCTAGCCTTAAATAGTCTAGACCTAGTTCTTCTCTATATATACACTCTTAGAGAATATAATAAATTCTAGATAAGATACGCGTTAGGTATAGAATTTATATTTAGATAGTTTTATATAGAGCTAGTACTATTAGAGTTATTCTAGTACTAGTTTAACATGTTTAACGTACTTCTTCTCTATTTAGAAGTAAATAAAAATATTATCTAAATAGATAATATAATAAATATTAAGTAAGTTAGATAAGGCTAAATTAATATAGCTCTAGAAGACTATAGAGGCGTTAGTAAGGCTAAAGAGTATTACTACGTATTTAAAGTACCTATAGTCTATTTAAAACGTAGTTTTCTATTTACTACTTTATTAAATCTATATATAGTAGTACGCGTTCTATAAGTCTAGTTTTAAGAAGATCTTAGCTTCTCTAAGATAGTTTAGGCTTTTCTAGATTAGTAGAAGAGAGTAGTAGTTCTTTAGAGTAACTACGTTTAGACTCTAATAGTCTATATATAGCTAGAGAGTTCTATTTACTTTCTTAATAAAGAGAATAGAGGCTCTAGCTTCTAATATAGATTTCTAGATCTATTCTCTCTTAAGGTTTATCTTAAGGTAATCTCTTAGAACCTTAGCCTTCTTAGCTAAGAGGCTATAGAGAGGTCTATAAGGTAGTTATTTATCTAGTATAAAGTCTATTATAAGCTTATAGAGGCTATGCTTAGAAAGAAGAGCTAAATTATTAGTAGAAAAGACGTCTAAATACTTAGAGAAGTACTCTAGTCTTAGTTTAGAGTTATTCTTCTCTTTCTAGTCTTGTTTCTAGACAAATAGTATAAAACTATAAGAGTTAGAGTAGAGCGCGCTACGCGCTACTTATTATAGAGCCTCTAGGTTAATCTAGGCATAGAGCTTTTTGCGTGTAAACTATAGAGTTAACCTAATAAAGTTTAGATTAGAGTTCTAAGTTCTTAGCTATAGCATACCTAGTATAAGATTAAACTCTTCTATTACGCCTACTATAAAGCTATCTTAACTCTATCTTATTTATTCTATACTATTAACTACCTAATATTAACTAGTAGTATAGCCTAGAACCTTAAGCTTCTCTCTATTTAAGCCTTAGAAGGCTAGACCTAGTTTTAGCTTAACAGATAGCCCTACCTTTTAAGCAAGAGAGTATAATATAAAGTTAGCTTCTACGCTATAATCTACTAGCGCCTAGTAGAGAATAGAAGTCTCTATACCTAGAACTACGTAGTCTAGTATAATTAAGGTACTTCTAGGCCTATTAAGAGTATAAGTACCTCTTTATAGTATAGCTATAATAATTTAGTCTCTAGTATACAAGATATTATCTAGTAGATAAAAGACCTTCTACCTTAGAGCTTAGGTTTTCTCTTCTTAGTTAGCCTTATCTTAAAGACGAGGTAATTCTACTTTATGTAGCTCTTCTAGTAGTATTTAAAGTAAAGACCTTCTACTTTAGCCTTGTTATTCTTAGCTACCTTAAAGTTATTCTTACTAGGCTAGCTAGGCTTAAAGATAGTCTATTTCTTCTTATTGTTCTTAGTAGAGGGGGTAGTAGAGCGCTTATAGAGGTGTAGGTTACTTTTTAGCACATTCTCTATTTAAGAGCGTTTTCTAATAGTTTTTGCCTAGTTCTATTTCTTAATTATCTACTAGTAATAGTATGCGTTAGCCTTAAGCTTAACAAGGCTTATCTAGGTCTTTAGAACTAAGTCTAGCCTAAATTAGACTTAAGAGTCTAGAGCGTTAAAGAATATCTAGATATACTCTAGGTTACTCTTATTAAAGGCTATAAGAGGGTTAATCTTCTTCTATTAGGTAGTTAGGTAGTAGAGAAGCTCTAATAGGCTTCTTTCGCCTTGTTTAGCTCTCGCGATTCTACCACGAGCGTTCTGCTTTCTTTTCTAGTTAGTCTCTAATATTTCTAGCATCTTTTGTTTTATAAAGGTCTAGGTAATATTAGTTTAGAGATAGACTTGCTAGACCTACTTCTAATACGTAAGAGAGGTATAATCTAGGTATTATATAGCCTATTAAACCTAATCTTAGGCTATTAGAAATAGGTTAGAATTAAGAATAAATTTCTTATATTCTCTTTACTAATTATTATAATTCTCTTTTATTTTTCTCTTATATTTAGGTAGAGGCTCTAACTTTAGAAGTTACTATAATAGTAGAGAGTAGACAAGGTACGTTAGAGGTAGCGCTAGCGCTACTATAGAAGCTCTAGCTTATTTCTTGTTTTAAGAGTGTAAGGTAACTAATTAGAGTAGAGAAGAGTATAAGTTATATTATTTAATCTAGGCCTCTAGCTACTAGATCTAATTTTAGAGAGTCTAGTAGCGTGCTTAGTAGGTAAGCTCTGCCTCTAGCTCTCTAATCTAGTTCTAGAGGGCCTTCTCTAAAAGCTTATTACTCTAGAGAGTTATAGCTAGATATAGCTATACTTTATATTTAATTTTATATGTTAGGTTTTAACCTAGAGTGTGTAAGTCTAAGAACTCGCCTAGGCTCTTTAGATCTTGTAACGCTAATACTCTTATATTTACTATCTCTATCTAGGCTTTAGAGAGTAGAGAATTATATTATAAAAGAAGAATCTACGTATAATTCTTTAAACTAAGCTAGTAGTAATAGGGTAATAGTAGAACACATAGGTAAAAAGTAGTTAATTCTAGAGTATTCTATAATATAATTCTCTACTCTTTTCTCTAGGCAAGAGATCGCGACTATATCTAAGAAGAGTAGGCGAGGTAAGCTAATACCGCGCTAAGTAAATCTAGCCTCGTCTAGGCTAGGCTAACGCAGTACTAGGCTAATCTAGCCTAGTCTAGGCTCTATTAAAGCAGCCTAGGTACTACTTATAATAGCCGCTATATTATTTACTATAACATCTAGCCTACTAATCTTCTTCTTAACAAGGCCTTCTATATTAAGCTTTCTAATTTCTAAGGTAAGTAGTTATTAGAGACTAGCGAGGTACTACTTAATAGCTATAGCGGTAAACTCTATAGATTCTACTACTCTCGCGATAATTCTTATAATATAAATATAAAAATAAATCTTTTTATATTAGGCTATACTATCTACTTTATTATAATAGGCTATATAGTATTTTCTAACATTATTAATAGTAAAGAGAAATAGTATAAGAAAGTAAAGAAGAGATTTATAAGTAGATAGTTTCTATAAGATAAATATACTTACAGCGCTATTACGTTAAAGTGCTAGTAGAAAGAATATAAGGCTACTAAGAACGTAATTTAGAATATTAAGGCGCTAGAAAGAGCAACGTGATTTTAAAGGTAGAGTAATAAGCATGGTAGCTTAAAGGGATAAAAGAAACGACTAGGGCCAGGCAATGCTTAGAACGAAGGCGAGAGGCTTTAGAAGAATAGATTTTTCGCTCTAGAGACATCGTAGTCTAATTAGTGTCTTCCGTATTATTAACGAGCAGTAGTTAAGAGTAAAGTGCTATTCTACTGTTTAGCTTTTCTAACTAACCTAGCTACATGCAAAAGATAGAAGATTGTACGCGTAGCTGTGCTAAACATAAAGAGTTAGAAGGAATCTTAAAAGCGAAATAACGTCGGCGCCTATTTGTCGGCTTAATAGTCTACTAAATGCTAGCGCTTTAAACGCCAAGATTGCACGTGCTGTTAGACGAAGTTTTAGAATAGCAAAGTCTACATCGTTTTCTCGTTACCTTTATACTACCTTTTAAGCGAGAGACTAAACCTACTTTGTAGATCGGCATACTTTAAGCGCTTATAGGTGTGTTACGATAACGCTAAGCCTAACTAACTATTCTCTAAGTTATACAGCTCTAGTAAACTACAATAGCTACTTATCTTCTACCTAGTATTAACTCTAGAAATCTTGTAGGCCTTAAAACGACTAGTGTTATCGCTCTTGTTCTAGATACCTAAAGAGTTATTAAATTCCTACATTTCGAGCCTAATGCTCGCGCCTAATGCTTAGTCGAAGTTAAGGTGTACGAACGGCTAGAACCGTTGTATAAGAACTCCTACTTAACAATACTACGTTACTACAGTAGTTCTAAAGATGGAATAATTTTAGAATACGTTAAGAATAGGACTTTAAAAGAGCACCTACGCAAGGTAGGCCTACCAAGCAACACTGCTAATACGCTAGGCTCGGCAAGCAGCGCAGGCATTGGCATTCTGCCACGCGAATACTGTTCTTTATGGGGACATTAACTACAGCAATTTCTTTCTTAACAGGGAGCTAAATCTCAAGCTAGGAGATTTTGCCAAATTATCTATTAACGACTCTCTAGCTACTATCTGCTACAGCACGACTCATTAGCTCCCTGTCTCAGATTCCTCACCTGAATTAGAAGACGTCGTTATTACAAAGGGGACTAGGATATTCGCCTTCGGCTCTACCCTATTTAAAATAGTGACAGGTCGCCCACTATATGACGACAAGCCCGATTCTGAAGTGGAGCTCTTGTTCCGTTCAAGAGAATTCCCTAAAATCCACGACGGTACAATCTTAGGATCGGTAATGACAAGATGCTGGAACGTTGAGTTCAGCTCTATGGACGAGGTGTTGAACAATACGAAGGTATGTGAGTCGCTCTTTTAAAGAGTGCAAGTCAACTGAACCAACTCAGATGGGTCCTCTCGACCACGCACTACGTTCCCGCTGAACGACCGTAAACCATTACGGCGGTTTCCATTTTCAACCTGTCTTGTCTGAGCTTAGCACGATGAATTCCAGCTTTAGGCAGGCCCTACTCTTGTCAAGAAACTGGAAGAATTTGCGAATCTTTAAAAGTGGTCAGCGGATTGAGTGGACTGGTACCCGCTCCTAATGCCGTTCTTGTAATTTTATGTTGGGCAAGAGAATAGGTTGAGATGGTGGAGCCGACTGGCCCGGCAAGCATATGTAAGGATCGCTGAGCAGTCAGTCGACGGAGGTTCCTAGCGATTGTGGTATGAATAGTGCGGGGTACGTTTACGGGACAAGTTGAGGTAGGCGAGGCGGAGTGAATGACGGTAGATTGACATAGAGAGGTTGTCGTGGAACATGATCTGGGGCGAGCCAGCCAACTTTAGAGAAAAATGCAGATTTCAAGGACGTGATGGCGTCGAACATAGCCCAAAGCTCACAACCTAGGTCGAGACAGATGAAAATTAGGTAAACTTAGGCCGACCCCGCACTCCACCCAAAGCCGCAGCGATATCGTCTGGAAATGCACCAGGCATTCCACGTTTCTCTGCGGTCACAAGGCTATTGAGCGCTTGACCGTGGCCCTTCTGAGCAACTCTCTCCGCGATTCCGCGTTTTCGCTCTTTCTGCGGTGCAGTTGCACCCTTGTCTTCTCCAGGAGCGCTTTTCAATTTCTGATTACGTGGAGTTGAACGACCTTCTCCGTTGAAGAGCTTATCCAGCATCTCTGCTGCCGAGGCTCGTCTAGTAGGATCGACGGTCGCCATGTCTCGGATGGGGTGGCAGGTATTCGCAGCCTCCTGTACCGCCCTGACCTTCAACTCATTCGTGTTCAACGGCTTCCCCCGGAACCCATCCATGTTCAATGCGTAAGCCAGAGTGACAAAGAGGGACCAAACATCTATCATCGATGTTTGTGAGACTCCTGAGTTGCACAACACATCGGGGGCCATAAAGATCGGAGACCCAACGCATGATTGGGCGCCAGTAATAGCATTACAAAGGCCAAAGTCCGTGAGTTGAAAGGTGTAGCCGCCGGTTGGTAGAGGTGCGTAGGGAATATTCGCAGGCTTGATATCCCTATGGACAAGGCCTTTGAATGCAAGGTAATCGAGCGCTTGGAGCATGTGATGGAGAAGAGACGTTGCCGAATCATTGTCTCTTATAAAGAGATCTTTCTGGATCAGGTCATGAATGTTGCCCTCTTTGAGTTCCGTAAAGATTTCAAGGTGCTCTCCTCCGAAACCTTGCGCTGATATGTACCGTACGATGTTTGGCTGTTGGCATTCGGACAGAAATGATCTCTGCTCGTCTGAATCCAACGTACAGCAGAATCTGGATTTGACTGCACTGTAAAAAAGTTCCCAGCCGCAAGGGCAGAAGGATGGAACATCTGCAACTCGGTCTTTGCGAGGAGGGCGGCTGGGAAGCGCTTCGGAGTGTGGACGATTGGCTATGGGTCGGCGGGCAGTTTAGGCAGCCGCCAAGGATAAGCTAGCCTTCTGTGGCCAAGTGCGCGGCCGCCCATCCTTGCCCGCCATCTTCTTTTCGTCATCTTCCTACATATCAATCTTTCGCTGCTCCGCTGCATTCTCCTACTCCTGCTCGCTTCTCACCGTCATAAGTGAGAGAATAGCTGCGCAGATGCGGAATACCCCAGATCAGGGCGCCACCAAGCGTAAGACGGCAACATCGTCAACTGGCAACTCCAAAGGCCGATCAACACGTCGCGCCACATCTACGACAGCAGACAGCAATCGGATAAAAAACGGCGATTGAAAGATGTGACATAGGCGCGATAGCGATCAACTGGATAGTGAACACAATTAAAAAATGTTTCCGTCTTTGATGAGTTGTCATTCGTATCTACTATGCGGCGTTGAATGAGAGAGGATTGATCGTCGAAGCACACAATCGTGAATACGAAGTTCTAATGTTCATCTGTTCCCAGACAAACTTGAAGAAATAAATGACTACCTTGTTCCAGCCATCCACGTCCCTTCCTTCCAACAATGTGTGGCAACTTTTCCAATGTCCAGGCCGACTATGCTCCGCCCCGCCCCGTCCCGCCTCCCTCGCTCATCTGTCCCGAAATCATGCTCGCGCTTTATCTTGCAACTTGGCCATGCACATTTTTCTACAAAACTTTAGCAAGGCTCCGCTGACCTTGAGAATTCTAGCGCTCTTACCATATGGCGGGATAGTGCGTCGTTGCGTGAGAAATTTTTAAAGCATAGCACGGATCGAATCGGTTCTTTGCACGGGTCGTGAACAGAGCGTTCATGTCTTGTGAGGTCATAGGGCCGGGAGAACATAGAGTTGCACACGTTGCTGGTTAGGGGTCTTTGTGCATGCATTGAAAAGCAGTTTGCGAGGTTTGCTCCATGGGTTTGTTCAAACAATCGCGCTTATGCCTCTTCATTTCCTGTGGAGTCTTAAAACGCAGGGTGCAGCCGGGATAGATGCAAGTGTATATGCCAGTAGCAGCATTAGAATTAGCTGGCTTTTGACTACCTGGCTCGAAGCCTCCCTCAGTGTCACCGGGCATAAAGGTGAGAGACCTCGACGACTCTGCGGAGGGGTGTTCGCATTCGCGTGCGCTAGCTGCTCTGCTTGGAAACAATGGCACCTCCCATAACGGTGGAGCACGGCTTTGTGTGTTTTGGCCATTGGGCTCGAAGATCTCGTTTGCTGCCGGGTCGATCTGCGCGACTGTGATCCGGTCTGAGGAGTAGTTCGCAGCCACCTCAGTGTATATCTTGTTCATGTGTGAGCAGGGGAGGCCATGTATCCTGCAATTCGAGCAGTGGCCGTTCTTGAAATCGAGGTATCGAACCTGTTCTTCCGTGAGTAAAGGGTTCAAGGAGCGGCTATCGTTCAAATTACGTTGTGACTCCTGCATCTCTCGCATTTAGGACCTTGTAGCCCCTTCAACAGCGTCCTCGCAAAATCCTCCACATTGAACTCATGTTCATCGTCCTTGTGCGTACTGTAGGAGTTAGAAGAAATTGTTCGCACAGAGAAAGGCAACTAGCCTCCATGTTTCTGATACTAGTCTGTCCATATTCTATGATAGATTCTCTTCGTGGAGCCCTATGAGGACTGCACATCTCTCTCTGTGTGTTGAGGTGCCGCGCTTTGAAATGTCGGAATAGGGGGCTCCTCCTGCTTCGTTGACTGCTGTATGGGGGTTTGGACAGCTTTGGTTGGTCAAGTAAATGTGACCGTGATAACGCGAGAAAACAGTGATCTCAAAGAAGGAGGGTTGAAAAGACAGCCCGTTGGCTCCTTGTGAAGCGCTCCGAGACCGCTCGTCACCGGTCCAAGGCGGCTGAACATCATGATCCACTATAGCAAAGGCGCCCGGTTCTAGCAGTATTCTCAAAACGGTCAATGCAGGCCGAATCATGTAGCTAGCATGAGCTGAGGCATCGTGACGCGTCTCCACACTGATGCATGATCAGGGATAAACTAAGTGAAGAATGGCTTCATTGGACAAGCGAACGGCTAGATTACCCCCAGAGCGCGCCTATGCACATTCTTGCAGCCCGCCAATTCTTTCATGTATCCCTCGCAGGATCGTAGTACGAAGTTCGGACCGGTGTGTCATTCGATGGTGACATCACCTGGCTTGATTCGGCTCGAGAGGATGTTTCTGCTCGTCGATCAGCATAATTCCGCCTCCACAATACATAGCTAATGCAATACCACTTGGTTTTCGGAGTTCTCCCATTGCCCTCGGCATGCGCCAAGCAAGGATCTCGAGAGTGACGAGGGGAATCTCGTTCTCTTGTAGTTGAACGTTGACCGCCTCTAGCACTAGGTTTTGATCCGCATCCTTAATATCAATCCAAGTAGCCGTAGGTGCATTTATAAGAAGTCTTTCAGCCGCTTGCCTCGTAAATTTCTAAGGACGGTTAATGCTAGTAGATGCATCCGAAACACTCCATTACCATGAATTGTTTCCACTGATTACTTGAATGGCCAGCGTGAGCCCTCACTGCCTCAGCCTTGGTTCGAGCTTTGATGGTCGTCATGGATGTGGCGTAGACACTGTGCATCAAAAGTGTGCGTCTGATTCACTCAGGGCGCTCCGTGAGCTTCGTAGGCTCCAAGGTTCAGGCACGTGAGGTCAATCCTTGGCTAGTAAGCTGATAAGCTCGGCAAAGTTTCCGGCCGAGTGTGCTGTGGGGGCCAAAATTGTCCCACCGAGTTATCCAACACGGGCGAATATGCAATGGCAAGATAAGAATAGCAAGATGACAGAAACAGAACTAGTCCAGGCATCGAGCAGTACCGTTGAAGTCATTTGCAATCTTCTCGATTCTCCTGAAGTCGATATTCGGCAGACGCAGTTTTGGCTGCTTCACCAAAGGGTGCGATATTGCTAGGCACGAAGTTATGATCATTCTGAAACCGATTCATCGAGAGCAGAGCAGATAAATCAATATGGGATCCACGGGTATCACAAGCGTCGCGTTACTGCATACAAGTGTTGCACGTCAAGGAACCATTGATCCTGATGCCTACCCGTCCGGTGGGCGAACCACAAGAAACCCTGAAACCTGAACCTGTATCCTGTTTAGCGCTCCGTCTTCGTGATGATGTGCTGTTTCGTCAGGGGGGCAATCAGACCAAGTGCCCCCAGAACCCCAGAGCTCCAGACCCACAAATCAAGGGACGTGGCAGACAACCTGCCAGCGAGTCAACACGTCCTGCCCTTTTTGGAACGTGCAACGCTCCCTGGGAATGGCTCCGGATGGCATGAAATGTGGCGGTCTAGGCAACTGAGCCGGGAGATTGCCTTCAGCTAACTGTGTGCGGACAGTACCATCAATCGGGATCGAGGGCTGGGGGCGTCCACTCCCGCTCATTAACTAGTTATACCTCCATCCAATAACAGAACATCGGAAAGGATAGACGAGAGACCCCACTTTCACCGGTGCATACTTCCTGAATTATGCATAATATCACCCGCATCTCAAGGCATTCAGCGGAGATCTTTGACCGCCCGAGCCGCTTATTCTTCCTCCTTCGGTCTCCCCCTCCACGGCGTAACCCAGCCGTGTCTTCTTCGCCATGCTATCCCTTCCGTCTCCTAACCGAACGCGAGGCCCCTGCGATTGGGAACCCTTTGGTGGCGTCGACGAATGCACATTCACGGCCGAATCACGCCGGAATAGAGGCGTCGAACGCATCTTTCGGCTCAAGTCCCTGTGCTCTTTTCTGTGTCGAACATGTAGCAGCATTCCCTTTTTCAATCACCTCGCACCACTACACCCCCTTTGTATACTTCAACTGCTGAGCAACTTATCAGTCGAGGTCGCCACCTTTCCAAAAGATGGCTCGCGGTGCGTCGCGGGTACAGGAGAAGATTGATTTCAGATTGGTGGTGATAGGTCAATGTGGAGTAGGAAAGACAGCGTTAATAAAGAAGGTACGCACTTGAGGAGTCCATTCCTCACTACCTAAAGTATTGTCTAACAGTCCCCAGTTCACCAAAGATGAATTCATCGAGGAATACAAGTGTACCGCAAAAGACTCGACCGAAGACTCAAAGTTAACACTCGGACTCTGGACATATACTGTGAAGATCACCAACATAGGGAGCGAGGACGCGTACAGGGATAATACAATAAGAGATAGTAACAGTTTTCTTCTAGTCTACGACACCTGTAATCAGTCGTCGCTCAAGAAAATACCAGTTCTGTTTCCTAAGATACATGAGGCGAGAGTCGCAATTGAGGGCGGTAGCTTGAATTCCACCTCAATAGCCCCTCCGCTGCCTTCTGTCGTCGTGGTTGGTACCAAGTCTAACAGGATTGACGAGCGCAAGGTCACCACTAAGAAGGGAAGGATGGTAGCTAAAGGACTAGACTGTGAATTCTGCGAGGTCACGGCCAAGGGCAGCGTTACTAAAGTGTTTTTGAATGTCATTCAACACTATAATCTACCTTCACCCTCCAAGTCCAGCGAAGAAGGGAAGCAGGACTAGACGTGTGGCTTAATAGAGCTGTTCTCTAGAGGCGTTCCATAGCTCTGTCAAGCAATCGCAAACTGTGTCTACAGATCCTCAAAACAGATTGATTTTAATTCTTTGCAGGACGTTAAAGTCTTCGATAGCGAGACATAACGTCATAGGACATGCAGGAGATCGAATTCGGATATGTACGGCATCGATGCAGAAGAGAGGTCTGCTTCCAATACCGCCTTTGTGGCGGCAGTCGCGGTTGCCTGTCCGCACGGTGCCTCTTTGCCCCTCAGTCCTATACATCATTATTACCTTTCGGCTTTCTTCGAATCACGATCTAGACTTTGCGATCACGAAAATGCATCTGCTAGAAATCAATTACTTCTGCCTCATATTCACCCTACCGCTGATTATCGTACCCCTCGGCAAAACTCAAAGGATTCCTCGCAGACAATCGATAAAGAACCAAGCTGTCGCTGTACTGATAGCTACATTCTATGTCAGTGCGCTTGCAATCTCCCTGAAAGAAGCCCACTAACGAGTGCTACCAGGCTATCGAGATGTTTCTTCTTCGATACTCCGATCATTTTGACTTATATTTGGTATGTACGCCAGCAATTCGTAAAACACCGACTAACCTGTAGACTAGTCCTCACTCCTGTGGTTGACGCTACTCTGGGGCAGTATTGCGGTCTACGCCATGTTGATTCAGTGCCATTATTCGTTCGTTCTAGTCGCGACCGGTCCAGAATTAGCTCGATGGGTATATGTGCTCCTTGCCCATTTCATCGGCAAGGAAACGGAGTCTTCTGCCTTCTTTCGTCCAACTGACCACATTCTTCTTCACAATTTCAGGATCATACGGCCCTGATTTACATATGACACCAACAATGACAGCAACAGCGAATGAAATTCCTTCTTTCGTTACAGAGTTCCGACTTAATTGAGAGAGCGTGGAAAGAATGTCATGATAAGCAGTCGTTACAAACCTCCACAATATTCTATTGGATGCAACAGAGGCATTTACGTTGCGAGCGTATTTATAATGTTAGCTAGGGCGTACAGGAACCAGAAAGTAATCGCGTCGTAAGAACGCTAAAGCGTCCGCCTTCTATTGCTTAAAGGCGTCTGCAATCGTGGAAGGGAGAGTAACATCTTTCGCTTCTATTTTCCATAATAGCCGTAGCCTGGCCGCCTCATCATTGGGATCTTTATTTCTGGGCGGCTTAAGAGGCGTGCAAGATTTTAAAAGCTTTTTAAGGTTTCTCCGCAACTTCTTATCTACATTTAGAATTTCCTATTTAAGCTCTTCGACGTACTGTAAATATTTAGATTCTACCTATCTATCTTTTAGAAAACGCACCTTATTATTAGAAAGCAGGTCTTTTAATATTAAATGCTCTAGTTAAGAGCGAGTAATAGTACTTATTTAGAAACCTATTAGCTTATAAAAGGTAGGCAGGCGAAGCTACAAAGAGCGTAGGCATAGCGTTAATACGCTTCTCGACGAGAAGTCTAACGTACTTTATTAGCGAAAGCCTTATATTACTAAAAGCTCTAAAAATGCTAAGCTCTTACTAAATACTACTACCTCTATTATAAAGCTCTCTATAAACGCCTAATTAACTTTAGATAAATTCTAAATATAGCTTATACTTTAGGCTATTTAATAGAATCTAGAGCTAAGCTTATAACGCGCTATAGCTCTCTATAACGTACTATAGAAGAAAGTTTATAGTTAATATAATAGAATTACTCTATAACGTAAAAAGATATCTAATTTAACAAAGCTTATAAAGAATAAAGAGTAGGTAATAGTTAAGTATATACTTTACCTAGACGTATAAAAATTTACTCTCTAGCTTACTACTATTTAAAATATAGCTAATAAGCTACTTACTAAGTAAGATAGAAACGCTATTAGTTAGATCTAGCTAAACTACTTTATTATATACTATTCTAAGCTTAAAATATAGCTTAATTATAAGTATAACTATTAGAGAGTAAAGTATAACGTACTTTATTACCGAAAGCCTTATATTACCGAAAGCCCCACGATTTCTTAGCAAGGAAAATTAACGAATATTAACTCGTTTCTCTTAAATAACTAAGCGAAACTTTAATATTTTTCTATAAAAATTTATATATATATTCTTTAGAGTATATTACACCTTATACTAAAGTTGCACTAAGACATATTACGTAATAAAAAAGCTATACGTATTTAGGTAACTTTTAAGAAAAATCTAGTTTACTTCTAGTTAGTACTATTATATCTCTACAATAATATATAAAACTTATAGTATATAGTATCTATAACGTAATAAAGGTTTCTAGAAAATTTCTATAGCGCTAGCTCTTCTAGGTATAGCGTAATAAGAGATAGAAGTTTATAAAAAGCCTTTCTAGAGTTTTCTTCTCTAACTATATATATATATTAATAATCTAGCTATATAAAGTTATATATTATAAGATTATATATACTATAAGCCTTCTATATATTTAGAAGTAATAATTTTAAAATAGTTTTAGTATCTTTCTATCTTTCTATACTATACTACTAAAAAGACTTTACTTTTATATAACTACTTAAAGCTAGTATATTATTAGTTAATAAGCTCTATATAGTTAAAGCCTACTATAATTTATAAAATAATAAGTTTTTATAGCTAGATTAACTATATATATATAGAGTTAGAAGAAGAAAGCTCTAAGAAGAAATTTTTCTAACTTCTATCTCTTATTACGCTATACCTAGAAGAGCTAGCTCTATAGAAATTTTCTAGAAACCTTTATTACGTTATAGATACTATATACTATAAGTTTTATATATTATTATAGAGATATAATAGTACTAACTAGAAGTAAACAAGATTTTTCTTAAAAGTTACCTAAATACATATAGCTTTTTATTACGTAATATATCTTAGTGCAACTTTAGTATAAGGTGTAATATACTCTAAAAAATATATATATAAATTTTTATAGAAAAATATTAAGGTTTCGCTTAGTTATTTAAGAGAAACGAGTTAATATTCGTTAATTTTCCTTGCTAAGAAATCGTGGGGCTTTTGGTAATATAAGGCTTTTAGTAATAAAGTACGTTAAAGATTCTATAATTATTTAAACGTAGTTTAATCTAGTAGATAATATAAAGGTAAAGTATAGTATTACTAATAAAAATATATATAATTTTAATAAATCTAGCTTTATAATAGAAATAATATTACCTTAGATAGTAGTTACTAGCTCTAAGAGATAATTATAACTAAAGAGTCTTTAGCTAAATAATTATAAGTAGATTTTAGTAATTATAATAGTAAGAGTAGTAGATAATATATAAATTCTACTATTTCTTATTATTATAGATAAGAACTATCTCTTAGTATAGTATAAGTATTATAGTACTAATATAGGTTTAAGTTTAAATACTACTTATATAATAGTAGCTAGCGTCTTAGTATCTATATAGATATTTTCTATAGTCTACTAAGTCTTCTACTTCTTATAGTATAATATATTATATTACTATATTATTTAATATACTTTACTAGCAAACGCTCTATACTACTAAACGCTCTAAAAATACTAAGCTCTTACTAAATACTACTATTTTATTTAGATTACTCTAACTCTAAGCTACTTAAGATAAATCTAGATAAGCTATCTAACTTAGCTATATTATCTTTAACTACCTAGTATGTTTACGCGTTATGCTCTAGCTTACTATAGCATTTATAGCGTTGCTAAGCTAGCTAGCTATCGCGTGCTACTACCTTTTCGCGCTACTTCTTGCCCTTATTCTAATTCGCAGCCTCTCTTTAAGCAACTAGCTATAAGCTAGCTTTAATTATAAGAGTATTACCTTTCTAAATTTACTTTTTTTTACGTAAATTATGCTTCTTTTTCTATATATTAGCTACTTAAAGCTAGGCAACTTTAGACTCTATAAGTACTAGCTAATACGCTATTAGCTTATTACCTTTCTTAAACTAATTAAGTAACTTAATAATATAAGTTAGTAATAAATTAAGGTACTACGTAATTTTTCTCTAAATTAGAGTTAATTATAACTTTAATTTAGTAGAATTACTAGGTATTTTATACTTCTAGGTAGTAGTATTATTAGTAGAAAGTATTAGTATACGTAATTAAACTTTAAGCTTTAATACTACTAAATCTAGGTTAAATAAGACTAAGCTAGTATCTCTAAATTCTACTCTAATATTATTATTTATAATTAACGCGTAAAAAGCTATATAAAACGTAGATAAAAACTTAGTTTTTATAATATAGTTAATATAGCTATATATTAGAATCTTAACTTAGTAGCTATATACTACCTTTAATAGTAAGAAGTAGCTAACGTTAAGTAGCTATAGAAGGTATAATAAATATACTAGTATATAGAGAGCTATAATTTTATTCTTCTTATAGTACTATTAGAATTTAATAGAGCTATAGCTTTTATAGCTATCTAAAATTAGTAGATAATATATATCTATAACATAACTCTTAGTATACGCGTTAAAGTACTTTAACTACGTAATACTAACTTTATTTATTATCTAGCCGCTTTTAGAGATAGCTATAACCTAGTTACGTAGTAGCTAGCTACCTTTATACTACGCTAAAAGGTAGTTCTTACTTATAATAATAAGAAATAGTAAAACCTATATATTATCTACTACTCTTACTCTTATAATTACTAAAATCTACTTATAATTACCTAGTTAAAAACTTTTTAGTTATAATTATTTCTTAGAGCTAGTAACTACTACCTAAGGTAATATTATTTCTATTATAAAGCTAGATTTATTATAATTATATATATCTTTATTAGTAATACTATACTTTGCCTTTATATTATCTACTAGGTTAAACTACGCCTAAATAATTATAGAATCTTCTTACTTTACTCTCTAATAGTTATA